CTCTCTCTCTCTCTCTCTCTCTCTCTCTCTCTCTCTCTCTCTCTCTCTCTCTCTAAGTCGAAATTTTCTTGTTGCACAAAGTTGTGCAAGTAATTTTGCGATTTAGCGAAGCAAACCAACTGCTACAATAATGAATGGAAAAAAAATCTAAATCTGTACAAAATCTGCATTAGAAATCGTGAATCATGAAAACGTCAACGAAAACAAACGAAACGAACAAAATGAAAAAATGTTAGTTGGCTTAGAGAGTACGTGTGTTGTTTCTCTGGTTTGTTTTTTTCTTCTTCTCTTCTGATTTTTTTTATGTAACCGATATATATATAATAAGGTGAGTGACTATGTGCAGAAATTGTGTGCATACGTGCGAAATGAAGTATAAGTTACAAAATCGGTAAAATAGACTGTCAAGTCTATCTGAGTGTAAAATGTTAATTAGCCGATACACTTCTGGCCTAAGATTACCATCTCGACCAAATGTCCATCACAGGCCAATAAAAATTGGTAATGGGTTCGAAGTGTTGACAAACGATTCGTTAATTTGATTTGAAATAAAAATAAAAAATGAAAGAGGTGAATTGAATTCGATAGCGGTGAGGTGATGACGATGATGAGAAGGAGTATGTGTTTGGATTTGGATTTGGTTTTGTGTGTGAATGTGTTGCTTTTGCACCCGGCACATTTCCGTGCCCTAGCAGTTAATCATGAAAATAATTGTCAGAGCATGGAAAATACGCTCAAAGGTCATTTTATAACGCGCGTATATTCGCTTATTTCAATTTCGTTATAAATTTTTCACAAGCTTTCGAATTGTTTTTGAATCCCTTCTTCGACACAACGACGACGATTATATTCACTTGGTGTATTGCGGCATTGTAGTGATGTACATGCGAAGAACATGGTCAGTATGTACCACACCAGAGCGTACCGACCGAATGTGTATTCAATCAACAAAATATGACACAAGATATACTTCTCTGTCTTGTTGTTGCTACGTTTTTTCTCTTTCTCTCTCTCTCCCTTCAATTTCGAGTCATTCTTTCGTTGCTGTTGTCATTTTTTTTCTCAAGCGCTATTTTATGTGGTTCATTGTTTGTCACGTTAACCTGCATGTGTGCTTCATATCTATTCATTATTGAATATTTAGGACAATGCAAAATAATGAATATAAATGAACCCGAAACAACTAGCGACGACGACGACGGCGACGACAACGACAATGATAATAGCCTAGCTCTCAGCCATATTCACAATGCAGACAAACAGATATAAAGTCTCACGTGCAGTAGAATAAGCAAAAAATGAAACGGCCAAGTAGAATGAAACTGAAGGCATTAAGAAGATGAAAAGAATTGAAGTCGGCTGTAACAGCATATTGGAGGATTTCATGAGAACCAAAAACGGGATCAATGAAAATGAATATTGATGCATGTTCGTGCATTTCATCGTCGCCGTTTCTTTTTCTATTTACTTTAGAGCATTGGCAATTTTCAAATCGGCCACCGTACTGTCCAAAAGTATTCACACATACGTTTTAATTTTCGGGCAATTGGACACATATCGAAAATGTTTTCTAAAATGGGCTGTTTGAAGCATGTTCACACCATCACACACGTACAACTGACTCCAATACATGTACACACACACACGCTCATTTATACACACAATAGCATACATTCGGACGGACGGACGGCAATCGAGACACCGAGGGAGAGAGAAAGAAAAGAGTACGCATATAGCCGTTCTTAAAATTAAAATAACTACACAACAAAATAGAATGCGCAAAAGATCTCAGAAAACCGATCACTTTATATATATTTCGTATTTTTTTCTGTTCCTTCTTCTTCTTCTTCTTCTTCTTCTTCTTCTTCTTCTTCTTCTTTTATTTCGTTGTTGTGTATTCATTCAAAGTCGTTCAAGTATTTTAAATGTTGTTTCAGCTGATTGTCTATCGTATCGTTTCAGTTGATTTTACTTTTTAAATCGGATCAATTCGTTTTGCATATCGAAATACACAAAAAGGAGCAGTAATGCACACAGCACGATTCGCTTATGTGTATAACTATATTGCAACATAAGCGTGTATTCTGCGAATCGCCGTAGAACACACTTTTTAATGCTCAAAGGAAAAAAAAAGAGAGAAAGAGAAAAGGAAAGAAAGAATTAAGTATTCGAATAGTCACAAATCATCGCAACGTTGCATACGTATTTGGTATTTCATATTTAGCTTTCCGCACATACAATTTTTCTATCAACTTCTTCGCCTTTCTTCTAGCTTTTTTTTCCTTCGCTTCTTCGTATTTATTGTCTTCGTTTTGAGTCTTTTGTGTTTGGGTTTGATTTGCAAGCCACATTCGTACGGAAAGACAGAGAAAGAGATAGAGGCATACATATATATATATATATATATATATAGATATGTACACACAGACACATACATATACACACATATGCACCGAGACACTCATAGTCAGCAGCGACAAAGGCAAAAAGTAAATCATCATTTCTAAGTTAAATTTGGTTGTGCATCTGAAAAATGTACAAATTTATCGATTCCAATGTTGGTGATTTAGCGATTTTCTTCGTTCGTTCGGTGAAAAATGGTTTTCCATTTCGCCTGAGGTTGGAAATGCATCCTAGAATGAAAGAAATTTGCGTTTGTATGACCAAGTCAAGTTTCGCTTATGTGCATCCGGACAGCCACACTGTCATTTGAACGAGTCGGGGCACAGTCACACATACGCACGAACATACACAGTCACAGACACAGCACTCTCACACAACAACAACAACAACAACAACATTAACAACAAAAAAACAACCAACGATTATAATTACAAAAAGGATAACTCATAAATGCAATAAAAGAGCCAAGTAATTTTTCTGTCGTCTTTCGCATTGTTTTTTCCTTCTGTCTTTTCTATTTTTTTTCTTCTTTTCAATGAAATTAATGAAAATTAAGCTGACTAATCTAATGGTTACACAGTGCGACATTTCTGAATAACTTGACGTATATATTTTTGTAATAGCGACTTTCGACGTTCGACATCGATATATACACACACGCACATTCACGCACACACAAGACACAAGACGACACATCGAGAAAGAGCGAGAAAAAAGTGTAAAAAGTCTCTCTTTTTTATGTTCATGTTGTACATAGAAAAAAGAATCCGAAATGATACAAAAAAATTATAAAGAAGATAGAAGAAGCAGTCTGCTTTTTTTGAATTTTTTTCTTCGAAATTATAATTTTAATTTTTCTTTTGTGTGGTAAAAAATGGCGAATAATTTGATAACATACCTCTGAAACAGATTCTTCATCCGATTCAGACGAATCAAGAACTATTTGATTTATGTCGGTATACTTTTCAATAACTGTTTTACTTGGACTTGTGTTCGAATTGTTGCAACATTTATTTTTTAATTTGATTTCGGTCGTAGACGACGACATATTATTTTTTTCATTTCCACTTGGGCTATGATTTGCAATCGTCGTTTTTGATGTAGATGGTACACTACTACTACTACTGCTGCTTGTGCTGCTGCTACTGCTGGTGCTGCTGTTTTTGCTTTTGCTGCTAACACTAGACACTTTGCAATCAACTTTTTTTCTATCACAATGTTCGATACTCTGCATTTTTGTGTGTAATTATTATTAAATCGGAATCTGTTTGTCGCTCCTTTTCAACTATATTCCCTTCCACTGATTTCGATTTCCGTTGATGAAACGTTAATAATTCGTATATATTATTTTAGTAACATTGAAAATTCGCTTATTTAAACACTTTTTAACACTTGTTTCAATTAAAAAATATGTATTATTAAAAACTATTCAATTTGATCGAAACTTGGGATCGCCATCATTCTTCCGGATACTGTATACGCCGTCAGTGATTTATTTGGGAACTAAAATTCTGCTGACCAAAAATGGCTACCGTCTCTATCTCTGTAGGTTGCTGTATTTTGCAGCGAAATGGCAAACACGTTCACACGCCACAACTGTCACATTCGTATCGCATCGGACAGTTACGTTACATTTCGGCCGCAAATTAAACGATCAAATGAAAGAAAATGTGCGGAATTTTTGCCATGTCAATCATTATCTCAACTAATATGATTTATAGAAAAATTGAAATGGCAATTTTAGGAGAACATTTTATGGAAATTGAATGGAATGCCAAACCGATACGCCATCTGTGTGACGAACCCAATCACCATCCAGCACTCGAATCGCTGTACATTGTCGATTTCAGAAAAACAGCTGATTTTGTCAGCGAGTTGCTACTACACGTTACATCAACTGTTGACATTCACTCTGCTCGGTCCCAAGTAGCAAATGTCGCTGCATTTAAAGGGCACACGCTATGGTTGAATTGCAGCCAGAATGTTATTGTTGCATATCTGGGATAAACATTCTTTCACTTTTGTCTGATTTACGCGGTGAATGTGTGTGCGTGAGTACAAACATTTGATTGTATTGCAAAAGGAACTCGCCATATTGGAATCGTTTCATTCTCTAGGCGATTTTTTTGAAAACAATATAGAGAGAGCGGAAAGCGAATTTCACCTTTATTCAAATATTTGTGAATGGATTTAAATTTTTATTCATTTCTATCCCATTGAAATGAAATCAAGAATTTAGTTGAATTCTTCCTGTACTTAATTTCTGAATTTTTAATAAATTTCCCATGTCTGTAATTTAATACTAATTCATACTGAAATCGAGCCAATGAACTGGAATCAATTCAATTAATTCACAACTTTGAAACATCGTGTTCTATGAATCCATTGAAGAAGTCTTTCTGTCTCTTCGTCTCCATGTCTCTTTTACTCACATTTAAGCGAAAGATACGAGGAATTAAACTCAAAAAAAATCTCACCGAGAAAAATAGAAGCATCGCTGTTTTTGCGTAATCCGTTTTGCGGGTGGTCTCATATTGGACCTCCCGAAAAATGTACAACAGATTGTTGCATCGTTCATGCATTCTCAAGAGGTCATAAAAGAAGCGGTTTTAGTTTACAGTTTGCTTGAATGAGACGTTTACTGAAAAAAATTATGAGAATGAATTTGTTTTGGAAAATTCCAGATAAAAAGTGCTGTCGAAAAAGCTTCTTAGCTCAATGCGGTTGCTTTTTTCTGGAACCGGGAGATATAAAGTTTCAATGTTGCAACTGAATCGAGGCGAATATACAAATATATAAGGCGGTAAGGCACATGACTTTGGATTAATTTGAGTTGATCCGTTGTGCCTTCTGTTTCAGAGCGATAATTCGGTTGCAACTGCAGTTCAATCTGTAAATACTGAACACTTTCAATTTTGAGTCAAAATCGACTTAAAACCATAGTTTGTGTGCCGTTGGTTAAGTGACAATTTGTGAAACGCGAATGGACTACGAAATGAGTGCAAATTGCAAGGGCGACAAGATGATTTCTCCAATGGTTTGGAAAAAACGTCGACTGGCCGCCAATGCTCGTGAACGCAAGCGAATGGAGCACCTTAATGATGCCTTTGATCGCCTCAGACAGTATTTGCCGAAACTTGAAAACAATCAAAAACTCTCGAAACACGAAACATTACAAATGGCTCAAACATACATCACCGAATTGGATCAATTGTTGAAGAAATAAAATAAAACACTATAATTGAATAAAACTCTAAAACGGTCGTTATTCTATTCAATTTTTGATATTAACACATTTTTCATTTACAACTAACATGGTTTGTTTACACAGGCGTACGGAATAATTGATAGTTTCGAACGAATGTCGGTTTTTCCTGGCCTTTTTTTGCTTTCTTCTGCGGTAAAGTTGGTACTTGACCGGGCCGTACATAGTCAGCGAATGGGAAGTCAGCTGGATCAATTTTGAACTTTTCATTTGATAAAGGTGTGGTCAAATGTACACGTGTGATGAATTTTCCGGGCCGATTCGGCCGTTGACCATTCACCGTAGTCAATATGGCATTGAAGTTTTCGATCAGTTGTTCTGTTGGCATGTTCAGCTGTGGAAACAAACAGATTGATTTACAGAATCAAGGAATTCAAAAAATGCATTTTCAAATCGAATGTGACCCAATGTTCAACCCGTTCTTACCGATCCGATTGAGGTATTCACAATGCCAAAGTTCTCCTGGAACTCATCTCGTCTGCCGGAAATGAAGAGACCATTCATAAATTTCATCACCAATTCATACAAATTCATGCCCAATGTTTCATTCTTGGCCGATGGGAACTTCTTTTTGAGCAAACCACGCAGTGCCAACATTTCGGGCATGATATCTGGATGCGCCAAAATGAATTGATAGTCGGCGAAACGAATGTTTCCCTTCAGAGCACTCTTGATTAAATCTGGACCACCGACGGTTGTTGCACCTGCTCTAATCGCATTGCTTCGATTCTCCTGAAAATGCACAACAACATTCATTCGCCCTACTATTATTTTGTAAATTTACATCCTTTTTTTTCACTTACTTCTTCTTTTGCAAAAACCAAAATCGTTCGCTCTTGGCCATGCTCAAATGGATGTTTGATGACAACAAGTTTTTGAAAGTTTGATATCATTCTGGTGGGTTTGTCACCCATCATATCCATTTCAACAGACATATTCAACGGTGAATCCAATGCATTCCACATCGTTGGATCGAGATTTTCTTTATGGAATCGAATTGCGTCGCTCACTTTGAATAGTGGCCATCGATAGTAACGACCTGGAAATGCATCATCCGTGGGTTCAGCCTTCCAATCATTTGTCAAATGTTTATCAACCTTTTTCCTACATTCAAAAGAAAGATTTCGATTAAATTTTCGCTTCATGGTCAATGTGTTTTTGTTCACTCACAAATGCAATTTGTTTCGAGGAATAAAGCCAACTTTGGTAATAGTAGTGAGTTTTGCCGTTTTGTTTTTCTTTTTCAATTTTTCTCGTTTTTCTCTTGTTCCTTTTCTCGCCTTCAAATCCACTTCACTGACGTGAATACATTGAACGGGTTGATAAAATGCTTGCGATCGAATGGTTAGCCGCGACAACATCGATCTCAACCCCAACATTTTTGGCTATTTTATGTTTGCCCCGTTTTTTACAAAAAAAAAGAGAAAACCAACAAAATTGGTCGAGTTTGTTTCCTGCACAATGTTTGGTTAAGTGTACCGAAACATACTTGATTTTTCTTCAGCCAATTGACAGCTAACCTACAAACCGGTTTTGACATTTCAAATGTCAGCTTATAGTTTTTTTTCAGTCACAATTCAAGCAAAAGAACCCCAAAATCAATCGAAACAGAACGGATTAAGAAACCACGAAACAATACAAAAGTTATGTGCCAAAAATAGGTGAAGATTAACTACTGTCACCGAAAAGAGGAAAATCGACGAAAAAATATTTGTTTGTAAATAAAAATCGCACCCAATAAAATAGGAATAAACTCACTCACCGCAAACTCTTACGTTAAGTTACTGAGAATAATTGTAAAAGTCTGACGTGTTGTTGTTATATACACATAATTTTCGGTGTGTGAGATATGGCGCGATGGGCAAGTACAGATCCATCGCATATAAATCAGCGTCGAAAATGGAATCTGGAAGGTAAATTAATTTTTCGATTGGTTGAATGTGAAAAAAATTTCACTGAAACGATGGATGTTTTTCATTTGATGTGATTGCAGATCGAACATCGTTACGAAATTTACATGGAAACTCTACAGAAAATGGAGATTCAAATAGTCAATATGAAATAGCAAGGCAAATCCTTGAAAATGATGCAGGTAAGTGATAAGCATTATAACAATGCCAAAACCCATTTTGGAAATGACGAATTTTATCGATTTTAGCCGAAGATTCGCGTGCCGATTATTCATTGGGTATTGATTGGTTGTTGAAAGCGTCATACGAGGGCCATGAAGGCGCATTGATGCTGCTAGCAAAAAGCCTGAAAACCGGACGCGGAATCAATGATCGAAATATCACCGAGGTCGAAACCTGCTTGCAAATGACACAATCCGAACGAAATGCACGAAAAGCGGCCCGTGAACTGTTCAATTGTTTGAAGCAAACGAATAATTCCGGCGAACACTATATCACGGTGGCGCAACTTGAAAAGAAAATGCGACAAATCTACAAACTGAAAACCAGTCGATACAAAAAGGGCCCGAATACACCATCGTCTTCACAAAATGAACAGGATATTTCACCATATCATTCGATTCGGCGGAACATAATGTCGAGTCCGGGCAATAATATCAGCGAAGAAAATCTCATTTCGGCTGCAATGCAAGTGGTTCACGGCCAGTTACCAAACATTAGTTCCTCATTAACGCTATCGGTGCCGCATCCCGAGTCATTGAATCAAGTCCCATATTTTCATCGATTGCTGTTCCATCCGCTGCTATTTCTCTACCTAATTTACCATCAGTACTTGAATGCACTGGCTCGATTTCCCAGTTCCTTAGCCAATTGCCTCATCTTTCTATTGATATTATCATACACAACAACCATAAACAATGTGCTCGTCTTCATGCCGGTCGTCATCTACCACGTGAGCCTATTTGTGATGATTGTTTCGACGCTGAAAATGTTCAAATCGAAACATCGATATGACGACTTTCGAATTTGGTCGCAGCTTTTCTTGAGTTTTGATCAGCAGTTTGATACGAACGCGGAAAATGCATTTCTTCGCAAAGAACTACAACCATATCTCATCCATTTTTCGGCATTTTTTGTGAATGTTATCGTTTCGTCGACCATTCCGCTCGACTGGAAAATGTCCTCAGAAGTGACAATTATCTCATTCATTTTACTATTTGTAACACTGTTCATATTCATGTTGAATAATCGCAATCCATTTCCCGATTTGCTGGTTTTACTCTCGTTCGGCATCAATGTGCTGGTGAAGTATCCGTTCGAAATTGACGCCGAAATGTGGAGCAATTGGTTGATATCCGATTTGAAAATACCAACATTTGCACCGTTCCCGATTGGCCATGGCATCGAATTTTGTTTCAACTCACGGGGTTTGCTGTATCTTTTAATACCGGGACTATTGGTTGCGTTGGCCCATCGGCACAATTGGCATGGCATTTATCAGTGTCTGATTCCGCACTGCGTCACATTGAGTTGGCTGCAAATTTGCATAATCGGTTCACAATCGGCAACGATGTTCGAAATGGTGCGTGGCACTTTAACGCTCGCTGGAATGCTATTTTGCCTCCCATTGTTTGGTTTAGTGACTCTGATGATACCCGTGTTCGTTACGGTTGAGTCGTTGGCTCTGAAGAATGCCGTACATCGCTTGATTGCATCGATATCAATTGCAGGCATTGCTTTGGCCATGTCTTGCCTGCTCGCATCATATCGACGTACCAAAAAATATGTGACATTCATTCAGGTGAGTTTATTTGAATACATTTGTGAATGCTTGAATAAACGGAACAATTTGAACTAGAAACATGTCGTCTCTTCCCAACAGATAATTGCTTGTTTAGTCGCTACATTCTACTTAACGCAACCGTTACTTTCGAAGTATTTCGATGTGTCTCCATCGGATTCGCAGTCGAGTGACATTTATCACACAATCATCAATCGAGTTGAGGCTGACGACGCGATGCTACAAGAAGAAGTAACGGCCAACTACTTGAAATGGGATCTGTTCAATCGTCATTGTCATTCGCCACTACTTTATCCCGGGAATCGAATAAATGCTCAATTGAAATGCGATCGATTCTATGGGGCGCACATCAAATGGGAGGGTCATGTTCATAATATAGAAATCCGTAGAGTGTCAAATATTTTCGAAAAAGTGCTCTCATTTTTACCTGACGTTCTATCGAATCAAGTAATGTGTTTTTTTGGTGAACCGAACGAACTCATGTTCGATGTGTATGACTCTGAAGAATTAGACTACTTTAAAGAGCAGCACAAATGCAATTTAAACAATTGGAATTCGTATGAATTTCGCATCGGTGTCAAATTAGATTACAGTCCAATCGAATTGTACCTCAAAGCTCACCATAGTTTTACAAATTTTACGAGATTATTAGGCCGAACAGATCGAATTTGGTTCAGTGGTACGTTATTGACTAGCTACTCGAATCCAGACGACGATAACGATGTACACGTTCCATTGACCACATTCAATTTGGAACGACATCCACTGTGGATTGATTTGGCATCGATCGGATGCATTAAATGTAAGGAATCAAGTCTGAAAGCATTCTATGCATCAAATCACCTAAAGTTAAGTAGTCGAAATATTTTTAATGGAATAAAATATTTATTCAACGTACTATTCAATCCGCTTATTAAGATAAATTAGGGCTTTGACATAAAATAAAACAAAAGGAACAAAACAAATATTCTTGTGTTTCGTATAATTAGATCAGAATTGTATATACAATTATGTTTGCATCTCGTTTCTTTCAAAATGTAATGTTTAATGATAGCCTAAAGCAAGTGATAATTATATTAAAGAAATAGACCAAAAATAAAATAACACAGTAAACGTTGTCAACTGTTGAATGCATCTCAGGCCTTTTTTTAGATGAATTAATTACTGGTTGTCTTAGTTTTTCCTTCTGGCCCCTGAAAAAAAAATCAGCTAGACACGCGCGAATGTATATTTGTCAACCATGTGTTTATGCATATCATCCTCGACATCCAATTGAAATTTTAGGCTTTTTCCGGTTGGATTAGTTGTTGGTTATGTTTTTTGTCCATTTCGACTTGTTTGACGCGTGCATAAAGACTGCTGCCGAACAGCACGACAAAGTTTGAAAACCACCAGAGGGTTGATCGATTCTCGTGGTACCAGTTTGCTGCGAGAACCGTTTGGGCACATGCTTTTGCCGTACCGGATATGTTGTGCGTTAGCGGTGATGTGACTTTGATTTGAAGTCCAGTTACATAGCCGATGGTGAATCCACATAAGCCACCGACAAATAGGGCAAGCCAAAACCATAGCTCATTTATGTGCTGGTAATTGGCTACCTCACGAATTTCTCCATTGAACATCATCAATGGAATGAACAGGAATGTCGCATAAACATTCACATAGTAGTTCAATAGAAGTACTTGGTCATTTATCTTTGGTAATGTTTTCTTAGTGTATATCGAATAGAGAGACAAACTAATCGACCCCAGAATACCGAATATTGTACCGATGAGCGAAAATGAATCTGAAAAATAAATATGATTCCATTGAGTTAACCAAGTTGTTTTAATTTTTCAAGCGAACAAAGATGTGATCCATTCAGATTCAAAAGAAATTAATTTCCAAGGAGAAATTTGTAAATCGAACATTTACATCAAAAAAGACAAAGAAAAAGCACTATGTTCTACATACCAGCAACGCTTTCTTGATCGACGCCAAGCCAAAAACCACCGACAATAATGGCACAGCACGCTATACAATTGAAACTTGAAGTTTGGCCGAGCAATGCGTACGAAAGTAGCACATTGAATACGGTCGTCAGAGATCGTCCGATGTAGTAAAACGAGACGGGAACATATTTCAAGCATAAATTATTCGTCGAGACCATTGATGTAAACAATATTGCAACCGGCATCGCCTGAAAATCAAATCAAAATAAGCATGAATGTGTTTGGGTTCATCAAATGTGCTTCAAACAAATTCATTGACTGTGTTCCGTGCCGCATTTATATTACCGTTTTGAAAATATTTTCAGTGAAGACATCGGATGGATTTGGTAAATTGGATCGTTTCACTAATCCTAATAGTAAACATATCACAACTGAAACGATGCATTGTACCCATGTGACGAAGAGCGGTGCATTCAACTTTACAGTGTCACTGCTTAAAAGTGCTTTGTTCACAAATACTGTCACAATTGAGACAACCCTTTTTGATGCAAATCAAAATAAAATGAAATTGAATTTAATTTCTCGTTTAAAAAAAAATATTTGTATTCCATGCTTCACAAACCAATATAGAGCCACGACAGCAGTGATTTTTGTATACTTTGTAAACAAACTGTCCGACGTATTGCCCAACGTCATCATTTGTATATTTCTTATTATCCTAAAAAATAATCGAATCGCCATGATTATCGATTGATGAGTTGTGATTTTCGAGAAAAAAAAATATTTCAATGCAAAAAGAGTCGAATTTTTGTGTTTATTCGTCCATTGTTGGCGGATTTTAATGCAATTAAATGTACTTCAGAATGTTATCTAGAACTGTCAAAAACTCATTTTTGAATGTGAAGTGACGTTTATACCATTTACCTGATTGAAAGCTAGAATCGTAATGAATATTTCGAATGATACGTTAGATGTATCTCGTCAACTTTTCAGTTTTATTTAATTTAGTTTTGCGTAAATAACTTATGAAAATTTGAATTTGCAGTTGGTTTTTTCTTGAATTTCGTTCGCGAATTCATGATAAGAAGAAAAAAAACCGCGTTCAAATCTTTTAAAGACAATAAAATATATATTGACACATGTTTGCTCCGTTCCATTTTATTTTATTTAAATATTTGTTCTGATTACGTTGCCATATGGTGAAAAACAAATTAGGCCAAATTAGAGCTGTCCGCACAGAAATAATTGCACCTGTAATAACCATCCAAATGAAGAACAGAACTTTTTTCTCGAACATTTGTAACATTTAAAAGTTTATTTCTTCTTTCTTCTTCTCTTATTTCTTGATAAATAATTTTTTTTACGAAAAAACATTTAGGTACAAAATTACACTTAGAAAGTACAAAATATGTTTTGTTTTATTTATTTGTAAATGTATTAATTGCTCTTTAAAATTCGAAACTCGGTGTCTTCTTTTGCCACAATTCGATGGAATTATTTACGATGTGATCAGCACTTTCCTGGTTATCTTTCAGCTGGAAAATACGGAAAATGAACGGAATAATTAATATGATATATTCGCTATTAACCGAAGTGCGAACGCTACGTCTTTTAAAAGACGTGGTTCATGTATTCTCGCCTTTCTCACGTCTTCTATATAATTACCACACGAAAGACGTACGTCTTCTATGCAGTGATAAATGGTATAGCTGAAATTTCCCTCACGCCATTCTCGCGTATTCTGTATACCATTGCACAGAAGATGCACGTCTTTCAGACAAGAAATTATATAGAAGATGGGAGAAAGGCGTGAATACGTGAATCACGTCTTTTAAAAGACGTAGCGTTCGCTCTTGGGAAAAGAAAAAAGGTGATTAACACTTTCGAAATTGGATTTGATTGAAAATCAAAGGTTCAAATCCCTTGTAAAGACAAAAACGTGAACTAGTATTTCAGCTGTAACTTACATTGTCAATGATTGTTATAATTTCCGGCACCTGGGTTGCGCTGGACAACCTCGCTGTACGCCATATCCAACTGAACAGCGTAACAAATACAAAAACAACGATTTTCCGTGATCCACCACAAATCTTATCCCAAATACGAATGAGTGACTGATTTGTCAAGACGCCAGCAAAGCATGTACCATACCATTGTTCTAAGGGCAGTGCATCTAGTAGATTATTTTCATCCAAATGTCTGGCAGAGCGAAAATTAACAATTCGCACCGTTAATATCATCATAATGATGAAGGCAATCAAAGTACAGATAAATCCCGTGTATCATCTCCACTTGTATTGTTTTTTACATTGAAGGGCATTGCACGCACCTTAACATTTACAATACAAACTCAATGCGAGTGGAGACGCCTGATGAAAAATGGCACAGATTGCTAGTGCTAAGGTTTATCTGTACTTTCAATTGCCCTCTTCAATCATAAAAGTTGTGTAGCATACGATATTACTCACTTATAAATTGTGTGATTTTCTTTTTCTAATAATTTGTACGATAATTCTTTGAGTTGACCAAAATCACGGGATATTTCTAATGCACATTTATAAAAACCTTTGGTTATCCAATAGAGATCGACTTCATTCTGAAACGTTTGTTGTAAAGCCTCGGACATGATAACGAAATTGCAGCGATTCTGTGTGGAGAGAAAAAACGTGCATGACATTCAAAATGATTCAAACTTCAAACGAGAACTGCTAAGTTCACGGTTGATGATCATATTAACAATACTTACGTTGATGTTTACACCCAGCCGAAGTTGTTTATTTTCTAGCAGCCACATGGTGTACAGCACATTTGGTATGGGCGTTTGTTCGCTAATGATGTGCATTACTCTGAGGGCATTGTGAAGATCTTCGAACACTTCCCGTCGTTGTGTCATCACAAATGCATGACAATCGGGATGAACGGGAGCAACGTCTGAATGAATGAGAATAAAAACAAAAACAATAATATACAGTGTTATCACGTAGATCCAGAAATAAAACCACTTACCCAACAAGATGTTCCATAGCACATTTCGGTAGACAGCTGGTACGGTGAAACTCAAACAGAATTGCTTGAGTTTCGGTCGGTTAAGTGGTTTCTCTTTTAACAAAATTTCCAATGATTTTCGCTCTTCAACACTTCGACAGCCAACTTTTTCATAGTATGCCGATCGAAAATTTCTATCGTCCGTGGTCATTGTCGTTAAAATTTGCTAGCAAATAAAAAATATCGCATAAACTACCGGGAATGGAAACCATTGACAACACATCGTCGTCGTCGTCTCGCTATTTCGCTTCGAAAAAATTCACCCAGACAATTTACGGAATGACATTGATTGTGTTTTGATTGGATTCACCAAATAATGTTCGAATAAAAAAAGTTAAAAATTTCTTTGACATATTCAAACAACTAGTGCAAAAGCTTTTAAGTTGCGAAAAAGAGATGACACGATGAATTGAATTGTCAAAACATACACACACACAGTGTGTGTGTGTGTGTGTGGTAACGTGAGTGCGTTCAACATGAGCGGGAACGAAATTGGATAGTCGATTTGGGATTCATTTGAACGCACTTTGTGTCGATGTTTTCGATGTGTGCGTCTTTCGATATTTTCGAAATACCTGATAATTCTCTATCTCGACTGCGGCGAACATTGAACATTTAACGTGGAAATATTCAATTGGTCCCAAGTTTTGTTCTCATATCATTCGCTGACTAAGCATTTTTTTTTAATTTTACAATTTCGTCCTCTAATTACTCTCGGCTATCAGTGCTGAGAGAGGGAATACAATCGAACTGTCATTCTGTGTACACGTCCGCATTCGAACTGTGTGTCAGCTTGTCTATTTTCATTTACCGTTCAAACGCAATATAGTTTTCTGCGTGCGTGAGTATATATGAATATGCACTTTGACATAAAACTAAGAACGTCGAATAGAGCAAACGGAATAGGAGAGAAAAACGAGATACATAAAAGTCACATCTAAGACGAAATACATAAACATCACGACGAAAAATCATTGTCAATAACATTGATGTACAATATAGGTTCACATAGGTGAAAATCAATGTTTTTGTGTGCGGCGATAACAAATATAGCAACCACTTTTTGATATTTTTTTCACGTCATTTTCTTTTTTCCATTCTCTATTCCGCCAAATTGTGATCCAAAGATAAAGTCCAAATAATTTTATTTTTAAATCTAAGTAGTCTATCTTTAGTTCTTCATACATACGCTTTTTTTCATCACAATTAGCCGCGAAACATACATTTATCAACGATGTGGACAAATTTTTTATATATTTTGATTGTAAGCTGTTTAACGTTCATCAATGCCGATGAATATATGAAACGGGAATTTTCATTGGTGAAACCATACTTCGGTGAGTGAATTGAAGAAATTTAATCATTTGATGCTCATTTGGTTTTCTCGGTCAAATTTCTCTGTGCATTGCATTGATTCGCTTGTGTATAGGTGCCGGTATGGGGACGCTCCCGTATTGGGATTTTACCGGTTCCACTTTGGTTACATCAAATTATATTCGTCTAACGCCGGATATACAGTCACGAAGTGGTGCTGTATGGAATTCAGTGGTACGTGTCAATTGTTTAACATGATTGTATTTCGGTTCTGTTTGTTTGTTTTTCTTTTGCTTCATTTTTTCATCAATGTTCGTTCATTTTTAGCCATGTATGTCACAAAATTGGGAAGTTAATATAAACTTCAAAGTGTCCGGCAAGGGTAAGGAGCTATTCGGTGATGGATTTGCGATCTGGTATGCAAGAGATCGATTAGTTCCAGGACCGGTGTTCGGCAGTAAAGATAATTTCATGGGTTTAGCCATCATTTTGGACACATACAGCAACCACAATGGACCACATAATGTAAGCTATGATTGAAACAATGGAAAAAATATCCAAATTAAGTGATGATGAGATAAGATAAGAAGGAGAAACGGACAAGAAAATAATTGGTGTTCTTTCTATTGCGCAGCATCAACATCCATACATCAGTGCAATGATTAACAATGGCTCATTGAGCTATGACCATGATCGCGATGGAACATTGACCCAAATCGCCGGTTGCGAAGCCAAATTCCGTAATGTTGACTACGACACACACATCAGCATCAAATACTTGAATGAACGACTGACGGTGTTGACTGATTTAGAAAATAAGCGTGAATGGAAAGTATGCTTCGAATCGCCAAATGTCAAATTGCCAACCGGCTACTATTTCGGTGCTTCCGCAACAACCGGTGATCTATCGGATAATCACGATATTATCTCATTTAAATTCTACGAAATCGAGCCGATTGCTGATGTAAGTTCAAAAGTTTATGCTCATCTTCAATTGTAGTTCATTCAATGTTTCAACATTCCATTGAGTCATGGGATCGGTGTGAATGAATTGATTTTCCTATTCATTGCTTACACTTGGATATGCTTCATTTTTCTCAATTTAGGAAGTCACGTTGGAAGTTCGAAAGAGTATTATTCCTTCAGCTGAAGTGTTTGAAGCTCCACGAGAACGAAAAGAAGATGTGAAGCCAGGAATGTCAAATGTCAAGGTAGGTTTTTTGTTAATTGTTACCATATCTCTGCGACTTGCAATTTTTCTATCAAAAATTTCATTTATTCGATTGTTCTAGATCTTCTTCTTGATCCTGTTCGGAATGATTTGCGCCATAGTCCTGGCCATATTTGGCATTATGTACTATCAAAAGCGAAAGGAGTCATCACGAAAACTTTGGTGATGACGATACACCAAAATTAATCCACTAATAAATATATTCATAAAATTTTGTACAAACCTAAGCACTGGTTCAATGTAAAAAACAACGAGAAAGAGGAATTGTTGTAATCAATTTTTTGTTTCTTCTTGCAAAGACAAAAGCATAAATTATTGAATAATCGACGGGCAGGTAAATTAGTTAGTAAAAGCTGTGTGTGTATACATGAAAATTTGCTTGAAAAAAATGAAGAAGGAAAAATCATTTACTTCAACCTATATTCTTTTTGTAGAAATCTGTTATCCACTTGATGAACCATTGACATTATCTGTGTGTTAAGTTCCATTGAAGAAAAAAAACTGACTGTCGAATAAATGAAAAATATATCCAAAATAAATTTAAAGCCAAAACAATAAACATAAACGCTTTGTTTTTTTTTCAATAAATTCCATACTTTCGTATCTACAAGGACGATGACAACCGTATCGTACCAGTGCATTTGTACCGTTTTTTTCTCTCTCTCTAAGATTCTACATAATAAGTAATGCTCGTATCTAAATATACTTGAAAATGGTATCTTCTTGTTTTGCAATCGTCTGGATTTCGAGTGTGATTGGGCATTGCATCCAACTCGACAATAGCTCCTCCGTGTAACCGATTAGGAAATAGACTTTGTTTGGTGCGATGCCGCGGCGCATGAGGAACGCAATTCGAATATGATTAAATTGTCGCTTTATGATGACTTCGCTACAAACCAACGAATGAAATGTGCCGGTGATGAATTTCCGAATGAACATATCCTCGACAACCGTTTGACACGGTCGCAATCCATCTTGTAAATTCGCTGTAATTCAAGCGAGCCAAAATTAATACGTGATAAAATACCTAATACATGACATGGTTTGCCAGTGCTTGCTTACCGCAATTCCACGAGTTCCAAGCTTTTCGGGTGGCAATTTGGTAGGGTGGATTTGCCATTTCATACGTTAACGGACGATCTCGTTTTGGTGTTATTTTGTATTTTCCCGACGACGTTTTTAAACACACGGCCGATGCATGAATCGATCGGCTCGGCGCCAATTGACTCTGTGTTGACACAATCAACTGAAACGATTGAAAACAAATTCAGTAACATTCAATTCATACCGAATGTCCAAATTCATTCAAATAAATAGAGAAAACTCACCTTTTGCACTTGGCCCAAAATCGATCGATTCATTGTGCAAGTCTTCCGGTTAAGGTATATTTTCTCTGTAGAAGTATTCGATTGGAGTATTGAAAAAGGAACGTCTTATTGTTTTTCAGTCATAAACTAAGGTTATGTGCATCCGTTTGACAGAAGAGCTGCTTACAGCTTTCGTTGTACAAAATCGATTGCCGTTATGTGAGGTTATGGTTTTACCTACGACTCTCTGCTTCTTTGTATCATCCATAGAAAATACTTTTTGTCTTTATTCAATTGAAATTCAGTCATAAAATGACGATCCATGCTATGTATGCCTATGAATGAAAATGATAATGAATAAAACGCATATGAATATATTTATATATATTTTTGTAATTGATTTTTCCTTATTTTTTGTCTTATTTGGTTCTATATCATGTATTCAAATAATGAAATGAAATTGTTTGATTTTATGTCAAATTTATACACCTTTCTTTAAAAAAACAAACATTGTAATGAAGAACAGAGAATGAGTTTTTGTATTCCTTTTCTTTTTACCTCGTAAATTAAAAAGTTAAGTGATGCTACGACTCTATAGAGAGTTAGATTGTAATTACAAACTCTAGTTTGTGTTTTTGTATATTGTTTTCTTGTGTTTGCGGTTTTTTTTCTTGCTGTGTTGTGTGTTTGTTAATGCGAGTGCTGGCAAAATTAAGTAAAGACGGGGTTTCATTTTGTAGTTGGAGGAGGCGAACAAATTGCAACAATTCAGATTTATACAAATTCTTTAATACACAATCTCAATGTTGAATGTCGTCGTCTACTTGCTGCTGTTGGTGCTGAATATAATTTTAAAAATTATCGATTCGAACCCAATAGACAGCGTTTAGTTTGGTTTTTTTTGTCGTTTTCGGGCGGAACACAACATACTACAAATTTAAAATTCAATGATGTTTACAATGTTACATGCTAAAGCATTGTTTGATCTATGTGCATTTTCAACAATAAAGACAATTTTTTATTAGCATTTTGGTCGATTGTTATTTTTTTCTGTTTCTGCTGCAATGAATTTACTGTTCTAAAATGTTTTTTAAACAATGAAATGTGATCAGATGGTTGTTTTTGTTGATCATTTGTTTGTTATTGTTGATAGTTGTACAATTGGGGATTTACTCTTTCTCTCCTTCACGAATTTTGGTCTTGGTCAATATTTCATTCCATGATACCAATTCGACACAAAAGAAATAATATCTTTCACAGAAATTTGATTAAAGTATAGTCAAATTTACTCTTGAAATTTCAATTAGTTTTGTCTGTGTGTTGTTTGTTTTCGGTTTTTTGTTCAGCTTTGCTTGGTTGTTGTTGCAATTGGTACAAAAATGTTCTTGTTTTTTGTTCTTCAATATAAGTTATCATTCAATGGTCGGGGGCAATTGATTGTATCTCTGTTGTATGATGGTGGTGGTGGTGGTGGTGGTGTTGATTGGTGAGTGTTTCTATCGCTATCTGCGAAGACCGTTCGGAGGTTGTAGGCTGGTTGAATGCATTAATTCGAGCTCAACGAGCAACGGAAAATGATCGGATGGTATGTGTGGATGTGGACAACCGACGACCTTACTCTCGCGCAACCATTCATTGGACAGTGGACCGAGCAAACCGAGCGGTACCATTCCGTTCTTCGAATAGAAAATATAGTCAATGATACCTTTGAAATCGAATGTGTAGTTGGTGTAGGGCATGATGTCTTCGCTGTATGCGGATGCCAATTTGAATGGATGCGTGAATTCGGTCAGTGAATCGGCACCGAGCAATCGTTGTAAGCAGGATTTGTAGCCGAGCTCTTTGAAATCTTGATGGTCCATCGATACATGGCCCGAGCTCAAGAATTCAATAACACCTGAATCGGGCAGTGAATTAAAGTCACCGCACAGCAACAGTTGAACATTGTTTGCATCGTATTTATGCGGTGGCCGGAGGCTGTGATTCAAATCGTCCAGTATTGTTTTCAGCTCATTGCTCAGCATCATCGTTTGAATCAGTTTGACATCACAGAATTCGGGATCCCAGTGAATATGAGCGGTACAAACTAAAATCGGCTGCGTGATGTGTGCTTGTTCTGGTGTCAGACCATCCCATGCTGACTCTTTGATTTTCAACAGCGCGGCCAGACCGATGTTATCCTTTGGCATTACTCGATTCAACATATTATCAGATCCTTCGGCATTTGCCATAGCCAGTTGATTGAACTCAATTAAATGATCTTTGATCAATGTAAATCTGCGGATAGACAAACACACACACACACAAAAATCAAGGTAAATTAGCTCAGTGAATTGATTAAACCGCACATTGAAAGAAGCGAAAGAACAGGCGAATATACTCACTTCGCTGCGCGGAAGAAAATTGCACAACCGTCAACATATTTACGCTCGTTTTCGCCCATCGTCTTTGCCCGGGATTTTGGTGAGAAAATGCCATCATATCCATCATTTTTCAGTTCAATTTTAAAAAAATTATAGAACTGATCCGTTTCGATCTCCTGCAAACTAATGATGTCGGCTGAATAGTGACGAATCTCATCCAAAATCGCCTGCAACACAAAACAAATCATTGGAACATTTCCATTTTATCGAGAGAAACAAATAAAATGCTTATCGGTGTACAATCAATTTTCTGCTTGTTTAACAACAATCGGCGCATTCAATCGATGTTATTTACCTTTTTCCGGTACTCCCAATTTAGCGCCCAACTCGGACAGTATCCGTACATTTGTCGGGTGGCATATTTATCACACAAGACGTTATAACACATCACCGTAAATATAACTAATTGAGAACAAAGGCAAACGATGACAGGTGAGAGAGTTTGTAAATAAATTGCGAAAATGTGAAATGGAGAACGGGAGAAAATAGAAAAATATAAAGCACACACACACACACACACAAATGAGCGGTGTCAATGACTTACATGCCGGTCTAGTTCGATTAGGTCTAGCAAGTGGAATCCAAGGCCGTTGAGGTGGTGGAACATTCATTATCGCTGCTGAAAGAATTTTAAAGATTAGACCCAAACAACAATCATCGTCACTCATAATACGCAAATTAGTGTTTTGTTTTTTTTTCTTCTTCTTGTTTTGCGTTCAAATACGGTCATTCTCGTAAACTTGACATCAAATTAAAACTTACACGATAGATTGTCAAGCAAATACGTCAACAATTTCTGCGTTCCATTCGGCTCATTGTAGATCGATTGAAGATCTTTCTGCAACGGATTTCCATGCAGTCCCAAAATGTGAATGTGAAACAGTTTACCGATTTCATTCGGTAAAACACGCAGTAAATTGTTGTTAAGCAACAATTCTCTGCCGATAAAAAGAGAGAAAGAGAAAAACATACACGAAATAAGTATTAAAAACGCAATTGTGCAATAGATAAATGTAAAAATGCATTGGAATCAATTAAACGAATGAAAATGTCGGCCATTCAACTTGACAAAATGCTTACCTCAGGTGAATCAACTCTCCCAATTCGGCCGGCAAACTTCTCAATTTATTACTGGACAGATCCAATGTACGTAAATTGATTAATTGACCAATGTCACTAGGAAGTCGTAGTAAATTGTTATCGTTAAGGTATAACGCTGTCAAATGCTCGAATTGCCATAGAGTCGGACTAACATTCCGTACATTGCCTGCAGCAAACGAAATGGAGGAAAATAAAAACGAGAGCAACGTGAGTGAGTTTAGTGTGTATGACAGAAAGAGGGAGAGTGAACGATAAGCTAAGAACAGGCGATTTAAATGTGAATATACCAGTTATTTCAACACCAGTCCAGTTAGACTTTCGTCCTGCAGCCACATCTTCTTGTGACATGAAGATCTGTTGCCTCCGATTGTTGCTGCTTTCATATCTGTCTTTGTTACGAGACATCTTATAGACATTTCCTAGATGAACAAACGCAATGAAACCAGTCAGTTGATTCGAATAAAATTGATTGAATCTTTCAATAACGAAAACGAATAATAACAAAAGCCACATGTGCATTAGCATGTTAGTCTCAAAATGAAATCGTTTTATTTTGTATTTGACTTTTGGAGAATCGTGATATGAGTCAAAATTCAAGGAGAATCAAGACAAGTCACCAACCCGTTGATCGCAACATCATTTAAGATCAGTCCGCACAAATCGAAATAAAAATGTATTCTAACAACACGGAATGTGTAGTCGCTTTTGACCAAATGCAAAACAATACGAGCGTGTTAATACTATTATGATTTTTTCGGTCGAAACCAAAAAAAGAGAAATGCTTAATGAACTACAGCTATTTATTATTAATGCAATCAAAATAACCTTTCATTTTTTTGTCTGCCATTACACACAGAAGTCATCCAGGTTGGATGTCAATGTTTTTGCTTCTTTTTGAAAACAAACACACTCACACAGAGAACACAACACTTTTTTTTTATTCTTTGTAATTTATGACGATTTGCTTATCGTATGTTGTTGTTGGTTTTATTTTTCGGTCGGGTGTTGAATTGCTGTTGACTGACTGTTGCTGTTGTTGTTGTAGTTGTTGTTTTTCGGTCAGAGATGGTAAATGTTGAGTTGATGGGCTTTCCAACCGCTAATCGCTCCGAATCAATTGATTAGTTAAGTGTAAAAACCACAAAAAGCCACAAAATTTGATGAGCTTAAATCCTTTTTTAGTTAGCACAGAGACAGAGAAAAGAAAACAGAAATAATCAAACGGTTTGATTGAACGCAAAGTTGTAATTTAAATCACTTGATCGACACTATCGATCTATGTCTATCACAATACATTCCATTTTCATCTCCGAAATATATTTTGTTTACAATTTATTTACGCTTTGTTTCTCCTCTATCAGTTGTTATTCAGAAAAAAGACAAGCGATTCCGGAATGAAATGAAATTGAGGTACATAAGTGCTTCGTGCGGGACACATACAATAACAAAAAAAAACTTGTGAAAAACATTGCGTCTCCATTTTCATCTCTCTTTTTTTCATTGGTCATGACAAGCGTGCACACATAAAGAATAAGCCAAACAACAAAAATGCAGAAAACAGAACTCAAAAAGAGAGATGGCATCAGCGCAAGTGGGATATATTTTTTCCCCTTTTTTTATAACTTTTTGGTTTTCCGCTTTTTTCCTTCGAAGGAGATGAAAATGCGAATTTAACGCAAAATGAACAACACACCACAAGAAAAAAAACACACAATAACCCAATCGAATAAAATGATTTACCTCCGTAAAAAAATGTTGTCGAATGTTGCGATGAAATTTGTCCTTTGTTCTGGCTTGCTGTTGATTACGGAAAAAAAATCAACTTGCGATTCAAACTTATTTGCTTATTTTGCTTGGTTTTCTATGGTTTAAAGTTGTTTTTGTTATATGCTAATTTATACAATTTTGTGAGTTTATTTTATTTTTGTAGAACGTAAATTCAAATGTGAAATTCATATAAATCTGCTTGATATGGGAGTAAATGTGTAACCAAGTGTGTTTGTATAACGTGTGTACACTAAAAACTTTCTACTGTAGCATTTGCGCTTGATTTTTTTTTTCATTTCGTCTTCACTTCAGTATCTACCGTCGGCAGTTCAACACTAGACAGCTCAATGTGGTGGTGCAATGGATGCGTTCAATGATAGAAACGCATCAAAAGAAACGCAACATCAAAGTACATCCATCCGATGCAGCCCTATTGACAAAAAACTTTATGCGGATTGTATCTATCCTGCTTCGCTGACTGAATTTTGCTGGAGTTGCAATTTTGAAATTTATGATCGTCACAAGTGCATGTTGAAATGTTGTTCTATAAACAGGCAACAATAACAAATAAAATCTTTTCAAATGTTCAAAGATAGGGAATTGAGTTTGGTGGCCAAAGATTCATTTAAAAACATCTATTGTATTTCTTGTATATGCCATTTGTTTTTATTACCGTTCAAATATACAATTATTGTATTTTCTTACTATGGAAGTGGTTGGTAAGTCATATTTTATTAGGTATTATGGAGAGAAGCAGAATATCTATTTGAAAAGATGATAAGATATTTATAGTGCTTCCAATACTTTGCATACTTTTTCTCAAAGTGGATTCGCTTTCAATCGATGCAACCGGTAAAAGCAATGGTTTTACCTTCCTTTTTGAAGATGTAATGAAGAAACGAAGACAATATTCGGTAAGCTGAAGAAACAGATGATCAACGTAAAACTTTATGTGATCTCACTAAAGTATTTTAATCCGTTAATGTTGACCATCAAATAACATTGGTTAGATTTGTAGCAGCCTTTGCGAATCAAATGATTATTTATAACCGTTACAGTTCGATTAAAATCAAAACTACATCCGAATGTAATTTTTTTTTATTTCAACAAACGGAATTTACATTTATGACTGAAAAATAACGATGGAATCATGAATTTTGACGAAATACGGTTTAAAAAGTCCTAGTTTGCAGTGAACTTCAATTTTGTTGTTTTTTTCGGGTTGTGCAAATGGGCTTACTGTTACAAATCAATCAATTCTAATAAGCGCAAAAGCAAGAATAAACCAATTAGAGCTTAGATAATAACTAGAGCTTATTCGATGTATTTTAGTTGGACTGTAAAAAAAATTATTATAATAAAAGAAACTTTTCAAATAAACACTGGCACAACATCCATTCGCTGTGTCCCTATTAACAAAAACAATTGGGATCATCGTACATGATAGTCGATTGTTCTAAAATTGCTAATTTGAATTCTATGGTTGCATCAAGTGCATGTTCATTCTAAATAGAAAACAAAAAACACATCATATTTCAACTTCTTGAAAAAGGAAACACCGGGAACTGAAATGTGGCAGTTACATCAATCAAAACATTCCGTAACCATGGCACTGCTTTCAAAACAATGCGAATATTTTTTCCTGTCTAACTAGAACCAAAACATTCAAAACTCCTATTCGAAAAATATCCGAGAAAATCGAAAAGAAATTGCATCGATATGTCGTTTTCGATAAATCCGGCATTTTCATTCAGTTTGAATCGTATTTTAGTTGGTAGTGTTAAATTTGGTAAATATGATGGCATCCATGTATGTCTTACGGCCGTTACTAGCACCGATAAAGTGATTTTACACAATCCGTACAAAAAGCTAAGCGAATCGAACAATCGTTTGTCATGGGCCGAGGCAAGCAGTGATATTGCCGTTTTAAATTTCAACCAGGAGATCCGTGCCATTGAAACTGGCTGCCTTTCCAGCGATCCCAAGGATATTTTGGTCATTGGCAGTCCAACACAGCTTTTAGGTGAGATGGTAACATTTCCATTTTTCAAATAGCACCGAATAAACTAGAACAATTTAATTGAAAATTCAACTGGTTTATTCCGCTTCAGCTTATCACGTTGACAATAACAGGGACCTATTTTATAAGGAGATTTTAGAGGGTATTTTCATCATTCTTATTGGTAAAGTATGTTCGTTTGAAAATCCGTTAGTGATCGTTGGTGGAAATCGTAAGTAATTTTCATCGTTTCACGTCAATGATATGCTTGGTTATTTATGACTTGAAATGTATTTTAGAGTACATCCGCGGCTATGACATTGAGGGAAATGAAAAACTTTGGATTGTCACCAGCGGAAATGTAAACTCACTCGCTTTAGTTGATTTTAATAATGACGGAAAGAATGAAGTAAGCCTCTATAGAGTATCTTTATTAAAGTATCGTATTACTATAGTATCTTTGAATTTATGACCAATTCAAATTTACCATCTTATCAATTTTCGTAGATCGTTTGTGGATGTGATAATGGAACGATTAAAATTTATCAGAACGATTCACTTTTGTCAGAGTTTTTCGAAAATTCGAGCATTATCCAAGTCTCAAGAATAGGTTGGTTGAATCATTTTGCTTTTTCTAAACACTTGACATAAAATTTAATTTTGATTAGACCAAACACCGATGCATACACTATTCGAAAAAATGGTAAAAATATTGAACTTTCAGATGTTAGCAGTTTGCTGGCTTATTCGCTGAATGATGGTACAGTCGGTGTTTACAACGAAGGTGTTCGACTGTGGCGGATCAAGGTTGATTTTGTTGATTTTGATCTTTTTTGTTAAACGAAGCTAATTTGAACATTTGAATGATTTACAGTCAAAGTCAAAGGGCTTATCTATGGCCTGTTTCGATTTATTGGGCACCGGATCACTTCAGCTGATCATCGGATGGGAATCTGGAAAGGTAGAAAATAAACGAATTTCAATGATTTTTTTTTTTATTCGAATTTTTATATTTTTAAGTATCTTTCATTCAACTGCAACTGAAGGAAATGGAAACTGATTTAACTATTTTAATTAATTCAGGTTGACATAAGGGACATTGCGACCGGAGAAAGTTTGTTTAAGCTATCTTTGAATCAAATGGTGATATCTGTTATGCAGGCCGATTATCGGGGAAGAGGTGTGAATGATTTGGTGATATGCACTAGAAATGGCGATATGAAAGGTTACGAACGATCAAAAATCAATTTGCAATCGATTAAGCAAATGGACCATAGTGAACTAAACTCTCTAATGACCACAAAGAAGAATTTAATGCTGGAACTCTCACAGTATCAATCGAATGCAAAAATCAACAAAGAACATTCCGAGTGAGTTGACTTTGCATGGGAAAGCTCTTGTGTTTTATAAAACCAACTTCTTTGGATATATTCATATTTCATTTGAAACACTTTGTTCTCTAGAAGTGATATGACACAAAAGTTTTCGATTGATGGCAAAACGTTTTTATAGAATAGTTCGAAAATAGTTATTAGATCCACTCAATTTCCATGATTTAAAATGTAATTTTTTTCAGGAATGAAGATCTGCGAATTTTGGCATCCGATGAATTTGGTGTAATTCCGGCGAGCACTCGACTTCAAGTGGCGCTATCAACAGTTGCAAGCACTGAGAAGAAAGTATGGCCTTTTCATTTTCATCCATCGTTCTATTAAGCTAAACCAATTTATTCTCATTCTTTTAACTTAACAACTATTTCCATATCAGCTCCATATCGAATTAAGTGTTTGTACAAACAACGATACAATCATCAAGGCGCTGATCATTTTCTCTGAAGGAATTTTTGAAGGTGAAACCCAAATTGCGTATTCTTACAATAGACCGACATCTCGCATTATTCTACCATTTATTACGCCAAAAAATATCGTCTACGATATTCATTTGAAAGTTAGTTCAACGATTTTGACATTTCATTTAAATTATTATCAACATTAAATTTCAATTTGAATTTCGATTGATTTGTAGATTTTGGTTGGTTTCGAGCACAGCAAGCAATTTCATGTATTCGAACTGACGAGACAGTTACCAAAGTTTGCCATGTATGCTGTTGTTGATGATTTCAATCCGCCGGTGCATCTTCTTGGTAACATTTCAATTGATGAAACCACTAGCTATGTATCGTTCAAATTAAGCGAACGCTATCAGAGACTTTGCCTTTGGATTAATCAGGTTAGCACTGGAAATGGAATGACTCTTTGATTTAAAAAAAAACCATTTTAACAAATGTAAAGTTTTGCATTATGTTTTAAGAATTTCTTGTTGCCCACCGACATTGAGCCGGAGCATATCACGAATTTAGATGATATTCGATTGTCTTTGATCAGTGTTTACGATAAGAGTTCAGTTGTAATTTGGTTCTCGGATAAGAACGAATCGAAAATCATCACCGAAAACATGGATTTAGCCGGTGATTTAATACATTCATTGGCAAATTTTCTGAATATCGAGGATTTGAAGGTAAGTGAAAGCAAATGTCAAAGTTTGGATTCAATTAAGTATAAAAATTCCATTGGAGAAAAAGAGAGAAAATGCTATTCAAATATTGTAGACAACGGCCTGCTTTCCGAACATCACAAATCGGTTGAATCAATATTATGAACGAATCAGTGGTTTTGAAACGACCTATTCCAATTTGATATTGGATGTGGCGCACAAGAAGTACATTGCCAAAAATTTGCTTATTCAAGCAGAAGATGCTCGACTCTACAATGAGTATGTAGTACAACAATTACAGCCATGTCACCGTCATCCTTTCAATTCACTTTATTTCGTTTTCGATTTTCAGAAGCGATCTAACACGAATTTACACCAATTTGAATCGACTGAACGATGATATGGCGAGTTCGTTTAGAATTCGGCAGCAAAATTTTGTGGAAATGCAGAAGAATTTGGATGCAGTGAATTCCGTGCTAAAATCATCGATACGACTACGAGGTAAGTGTGACAATGTTCAATTAAATTTGCAAATTTAATTAATTTTCCCTCTTTTATTTCATCGCTCCTCGTTGCCATTTTTCTAGTGGGAAATTATGCGGCAAAAATGATGCCGCTGTTCAAGATAGCGGTGAAAAACAAAAATGTTCAGGCAATCGTACGAATCATTGAGCAAGGCGAAAATTGAAACCACTCACGCTCGTTCGCTCTCCGGACTCGCTCAACATAAAATTTGACTGTGTGTTTCGCCAAATTCGTTGAATGGTGAAAATATGGCTAATGGTTCGTGTGTGCACACTGCACATCCTCTTTTTTTAATATCGCGCCATCTCGTTTCCACCATCGTCTGTGATACGGAACATTTCCCCCCTCGAAACGAACAGACAGAGAGATGAATAGTCTCTATAAATTTTATGCGCGAGTCATACACTAGATATACGTAGGATTGCATGCGCCACACATCAAAATGTCAACAAAAATGTTCAGTCTACGATGTGTGCCAGAAATCAAAAAGCGATGCAGTTCCCGAAAACGTCACATTCTCGTTCGTCTCCTAATAGTTTGTTTTGTCGTTTTCTTTAAATTCTGTTTTTTTTTTCGCTCGCATCGATGTGCTCCCACATTTACACAAAGTATGAATTACAGTGTTTCTCAAGTGTGCGCAACCCATAAAACTAGTTGAATTTAGGAAATTTAGTTTGTAATATCTGTTTGAATGAAGAAAACAAAATTAAAACCATTTTTCAAAAATAAAACTGAATAGTTAATGAATGAAGAAAAACGAAAAGTGTGATTCGGTTTAATCTGAACTCGGTGATTTTCATTTCCTCTTCTTGCCCATTTTTAAATATTCATTCAAAAAAATGTGGAGTTAAGCAGGAAATGCAGATGGAAGAACTGGGCTGCATTTATCTCTTGTGGTTGTTTGATGTGCGTTAAAAAAATTTATGGCAGTCTGTGTGTTGTTTTCCTTCGGTCAAAGTGAACCGAACAGTGACCAGAACTTCTGGTCCAGAAGATGGAATAAATTATCTCTCACGTGTAAATAACTCATTATAAAAAAATGAATCAATAACTCTTCCGTTCACTTTATCTTCTTCCGTCCAGTTTCCGTTGGGAAACGCACAGATATAGAGTGAAAGTTCATTTAGTTCGTTTATTGTTGTCCTTCATCTTACGCTATTTTGGCATCCCAAGGAGAAATTGTTAACGCAAATACATCCATTACCAAGCGTATGTAAACGCTTGAATTTGGGCTCGAATTTGGGTGTAGTTTCAGTCATTTTGAACGTCACAATGAAAGTAGAAAAAGAACAGTAAAAACAAATCAATTAGAATGATATAAAAATGATTATGAATCAATATTCAATATGCTAATAAATTGTGACACTCACCTACAGGGATCATCCTGTACTCTATCCATAGATAGCCATTGATAAAGGTGTTATTATACCACATAGGAAGTCCATTAGACATGAGACAATCTACGTAAGTTAATAAACCTTGTCGATGATTGCTGGGACACTAGGACGTCCACCAGCTGTTGTTAACATACTGTTACATTAATTAATTTTTTCAATTCTCTGTTTTTAATCTTATTATCGCGGATACTCGATTTGTTCGTCGGTGAACACACGATGCAGGTCATAACCGAAGAGTTGACAATGTCCTGCAAAGAGAAAGAAAAACAGACCCAAAACAATAGCATTACTTTCACAATTTCACTCCATCGTTCAAACACCAATTCTAATTCTAATTCCAATTTCAATTTAATGAATAGCATACCCGAACTCACAATGTGCTGTGTATTAATCATATACTGTCATATTTTTTCACGCTGGTGGCGTACCTAGCCCATGGATGGATGTACTATGGGTTAGCTGTGTTCTGTATTAAAACATTTGAGTTGAGTTGTGTTTGAGGTTTATTTTACAACTGATTGAAACATTACAAAATACGCTTTATATATACTAATGATTACTGTTGTATAATATGTGTATAACTATGTAACTAATATTTGTATAACTCTATGTAACTGAATGTCAAGTTGGTTGTGTATGGATTTTGACAGAACTTCTGCGGCCATCACCTAGTTGCGCCACATATCACATCGTTCCATATACATTGTGAGCTCGGCATACCTTTGTACAAAATCAGCTTTGCAGCCGAAATGTCACGATGCCAAATAGTACTCAGATATGAAAAGTACAGTTGCTCGTCGGGATCATAATCTTCAGTCAACTCGATGATTCCTCCGCCGAGGTTGATAACACCTCTGCGCCCTTCAGCATACTCGTCCGCATCGTTCGCCGCATTTTGTCGCCAGTTTTTATGGTATTCAATCACCTTAGACAAAAATCCATCGGCTTGATTTGGATTCTACTCTGCTTCATCGCGCATCGCTCGTCGCTCTGATCGCAAATTTCGCTTGTGCTTCAACGTCAGAATTCTCGGTGGTAACTGAAAAGTTGGTGGCCAGGCACCTGGATCTATCTCTCTCTCAAATCTTAATCTATCTCTCTCAAATCTTAGTACTATTTATCTTAATTTTTTCGCTTACTCGAATCGATTCGATATACTTGTCTTACGGGTGTATTTTTCGGTGGTGTACGCCTGTTTGGCTGCCTTTGAAATTCGCAAGCGATGAGTGATGTAATCTCTCCAATTACTGCCTTTTGACCACGGCATTCGTGCGTATCGAGGCCGGTTCTCCCGATCGTTCCGTTCAAACATCTTGAAATTTCATGTCCATTTCTCCGCTTCCTATCGCGCACACTTTTGCTTGGTCAGATAATGATACTTCTTGCTCGATATTTTGAAGTTCATCTTTTGTTGAAAGAAAAAAATGAGAAGAAAATTAACAATAGAAAATCAAACAATGAATACCATTATATGATTATAAAACTTTTTTTTGGTTTTTAATGGTTCTTCGGACCGTGGCCTTCCATGTCTTCATGCCTGGGTCCACACCGAGCTCGTAGATGAAACCACCATTTTCGTGCCGCGTTTTAACGATCCCATCACTTACCAAACGTTCTAAACCTATTTAGCTGCGACTTTGGCACATTGTACTGTACTGAGGCCGAAACACCATCGCAATAAAACTTAGAACGAAATGGTTTTTTCGATTTGACAATTCGTCCGATCTTTGGCATGGAGAAAATTTTATTCCAAAAATAATCTTGGTTCGCGTAGACATAGCCCACTCTCGGCTTGAACCCCATTCACTCTTGACAGCAATCGAAATTCGGTCAGCATGCAGTAGAGGATTTCAGTATCCATTTCTACGCATTTCCGCATGTGCGAGCAGATCGGTATCACTTTCAAATTCTTGATTATTGGCACTTCGATTCGGTTGGTTTCCCATTGGATGCAGAAACTCATGCAAAATATAATCTCATAACGGGACCAAAGTAAACAAAAACAAATGCATCACCACGCCACAGTGACAAATGAGTGGGTTGTGTTGCGTTGTGTGAAATGGAAGAGAAGTGTCGGTTCTGCTCTTTCTTTCTAACTCACGCGCCCAAAATGAAATCAATACACAAATCGAATTCTTGTATATTCATTCAGTTCGTTCGGCACAGAGTTGTTTGGAATGGTTGTCATTTCAAACGTTTGAATTTTACAGAAGCTGGGTAGCGTTCCGAATATTCATGCAGTTGGTTTACACTGAAATTTCATTCGATTTGGACGGAAAAAAAGACTTTTGTGTATTCTAAGTGCAAGCAAAGAGATACACCGAGTGTAGCGGCTTTATAAATGACAAATCTGAATGATAATGTTGGATTTTGGGACTCGGTATTAATTGAAAACTTAACCGAGGAAACGTTCATTTCCAACATTTATCAGCGATACAAACGGGGTCTTATCTATGTAGGTATCCTTTGTATTTTGAATGATGCGGTTTCTCTAGCTCTTTTGTTCTTCGAAAATCCAATACATTTCGGTTTTCTTTTTGTTTTGTTTTCTGTGAATTGACTTTTTAGACATATATTGGTGCCTTTCTCGTAGCCATCAATCCATACAAGGCGATTGCAAACTATTCCACAGACACAATCCAATGTTACGCTAAATCAAACTATTTCAAATTACCGCCACATATGTGAGTATTGAGTATCTGTGGGTGATGATGTGCTATGTAGATTTCAACAGCTTCCTTCTTTATCTAAATGACTTTCTCTTTTGGGGTGGTTGGGATGGATTTTTAGCTACGGCATCACAAATTCTGCTTATCGCAGCCTACAGGATCAAAATGAGAATCAATGTGTATGCGTATTAGGCGAAAATGGAAGTGGAAAAACCGAGAGCGCTCGAATTATTCTACATTTTCTCTCCAATGTACATTCCGATCATACACTTAGCGGTAGGAAAATTCTTCAAAATCAAAATAGTACAAGGCTGATGCGATGCAAGAGTCTCGCTTCATATCCAAAATACGAATCGCCGGAAGCGGTGTGTCACTCCGGAAAGCGTGACTCCATCAAATTTGCACGAAAATCACATGTGAGTTTATCTAACGACCGACACTAGATATAATCAAACCTATACTGCGAATCAAAATGCCAACTCAATTTTTTCTCAACTTGTTCACCCACTCTCTTTTTTTTGCGACAAACAGAAATCGCCGGGAACGGTCGAATTTGATCTACGAAATCAATACAAGAGCTTAGACGATGTTTCACTCAGCAGCATTTGTGGTGACAATAAATGGAATAGGAAATTTTCGCAGTCAATGTCATCGTCGGCAATTAATACGCCGAAGGCAAATCGCACCGATAAAGCCAATTGTGATGAGCGAAGGTCGAGCGTATCGAAGGCATTACAATGTGATAGAACACCGACACGTACCAAAAACTGGCTAATCATGAAAAAAGATCTGCAATGCGATAAATGCGGCTACATTCGGGCCATTTGTGATGGTACTAATCACACCGATAAACAATGCTCATCCAATGCCAAAGGAACATCGTGCCATTCAAGCGATGAACATTTTTATACCAATAATTTTAATGACACTGCCACTTTCAAAAGTACAAATTGCAAACTCAAATCCGAATCGAACTATTCACTTGGCAGATCATCGTCATTTATCAACTCAACCGATATTCATTTGACGATTCGCAGACGCATCGTTTACGCCCAAGTTCTCCTCGAAGCATTCGGAAATGCATCCATTTCACTCAACAGCAATTCCAGCCGATTCGTAAGTTTTATTGTTTTCGTTTTGGAATCGGTGAAATGTTCCAATGATTCTGTACAATGGTTTTGATTTTCTTTGTAGGGAAGCTTTTTCGATATCGAACTCGACTTCAAAGGAGATCCTCTGGCGGCTCATGTTAATTGTTGTAAGTAAATGACAAAGTCTTTGATTTGCATTTAACCATCTGATTGAATTTAAAACTAAATTTGTCTAAGATTTAAATTAAAATTGATCAATATTGATTAAAATTGGGTGTATTTTTCTCTTATTCCAGATATGATTGAAAAGGTACGTTGTGGAAAAATAAACCCTCTCTTATGAAACTCTATGTATTTAGATAATCTTTTACCTTGTTCTTATTCAACTCTGCAGTGGCGTGTAACAGATCGGTTGTGCGGAGAACGAAACTTCCATATATTCTATCAGTTGTTGTGCGGTGCAGACATTGCATTTCTAAGTATAACTCATTATAAGTTCTGTCACATTGTTCGCTATGACTAATTTTGCATATTTCATTGCTAGAACTCATCAAACTTCAGCGAAACAGCGAAAAATATGTTCTATTGAAGAATGATCCAACCACAAATACTGACAGAGAAGACTTTGCTTACACGAAAAAAGCGCTCGAAGTTATCGGCCTCACTTCAGATGAAACCCTTAGCATATTTAAAATGGTCTCAATTATTCTTAAGTTAGGTGAGCCATTCGTGATTAATCCAATTCATTTGATTTAAAAATTCGTCAATATTTATTTACATTTCAATAGGAAATCTAATTTTTATACCAACTACAAATATTGATGGAAGCGGTGGATGTGAAATAACAAATGATTATGGTAAGTGAGCAAGTGATATATTCCACTGATCAGCCGAATACAATCGAATGTGTCGAATGTGCATTTTTAGAAGTGATGGAAATAGCGGAAATTGCACAATTGAATCCAAATATTTTAATGAACTGTTTGACGAAAGGCGATCACAACTGGCGCTACAATGATTCCGACTCTGACTTAGATGCGGTGAGATTTAATCCAAATTTCAATTGAAAAATCGAAAGAAAAAAAAAACGAAAAAATAAATTCGTCGCGTATTATTTTAGATGAGCGCATCACGGATTCGAAATATCATGTGCAGAACCATTTATGGCCGTCTGTTCACTTGGATTGCTGGAAAAATTAATGAATCATTTAAGGTACATTTACTGATCGAATTACTAAATGGTTAAAATGTAACTAGCATTTCATGTGTAACATGGTTCGTTTCAGATAAAGCATGGATCAATACATGGAAAAAAATTTGGAATATTAGACTTTTTCGGTTTCGAAGTAAACAAGAATAATCGTTTTGAGCAATTGGTTAACAATTACTGTAGTGAAAAGCTGCATCAGGTACGTTAGAACTGACAATTTAGGCTTGTGTAATTTCAACCAAATCCAAAATGAAATATTTTCGTCTAAATGCGGATTCTTCTTTGCCACATACAGAGTTTTCTTCAAAACGTGTTCAAAAATCAACAGGAAATATACCTCAAAGAGGGTCTCGATTGGAATAAAATCGACTTTTTCGACAATTATGCAATTTGTGATTTAATTGACAAACATAGCTACGGAATATTGAATTTACTAGATGAGCCTCATATCAAATCAGACGAAGCTTATTCGCTACGTGTACAACAATGCTGTGCTGGTAACCCAAACTTTTTACCCGAAGACAATAACATGATGCGAAAAAGTTTTCAGTAAGTGAATATTCGGTTGAGTTGTTCGTTTCAACATCGGTGCACTAATTATTGCCAAATTTGTAGAATAAGACACTTTGCCGGTCAAGTGAGCTATGCAGCAAGTGGATTCATGGAAAAAAATGCGGATAAAATACCACGATACATAAGTACAGGTTTCTTTCAGAGTAAATTGCCGTTGATGCAAAGTCTATTTCCCGAAGGTGAGGTGACAATCGGTCTAGAATATGAATTTACGTTTCATTGAAATAATTCAATATTACATCACCAATCACCATGCATTCTAGTATGGCATATGCAAGATAACCTGCTTAAAACTCATTTGTTCGTTTGTTTTTAATCTATAGGCAATCCGAATCGCACACATCGTCATCCGGCGAGCGTTTCGACAAATATTCAATTGCAATTGCAATCGCTGTTGTCGTTGATGCAAGATAGAAAAACTCATTATATTTTTTGTATAAAACCAAATCAATCGAAAAAGGCGAATCTATTTGAATTGCCATTGGTTCAGCATCAAATACGCTATACGAACATAATGCCATTAGTTAACATTTGGAGAATGGGCTATTGTTTCCATTTGAGTCATTTGCAATTTTTAAATCGTTATAAAATCTTAAGCTCCGAAACGTGGCCATTCTATCGAATTGGAAGTGTAATCGAAGGCATTGCAACGATCATACGTGAACTACCACTGCCATCAGCCGAATTCATTTTGGGAACGACGAAAGTTTTCATGCGCAGCCCCCGAACAGTGAGTGCGAAGAACCTAAATCTAATATATTATTTATTACTTAGCTGTGTGTGTGTGTGTGTGTGTGTGTGTGTGCGATATTGATAACTATTTCATTCGGTAAATTGAATTTTCCATTGCTAACCGTTGGCATTTAATTTTCGTTTAGGTTTTCGAAATGGAGGAGTTTCGACGAAATCGATTAAATGAATTGATTGTGATAATCCAAACGAAATTTAGATCCTATATTCAGCGAAAACGATTTATGCGATTAAAGCAAAGCCAAATTCTTATTGCACGTACATGGAGAGCGCGACGAGTGAGTATCTATACATCATTTATGGAATAAGCATTTACAATATATCTCACTCTATCTCTAGCTCTCTCCCTATATACTATATACATATATATATGCCCATCCGCAAAACTATCAAAAACAATTTTCGATATCTCGTAAAACTATAGCTTCTATTCATTTTGAAACATGACCAAACACACACAAAATGCATGAACAAGTAGAGCATGCTCTAAATAACACATTTCTATCTCGAAATAGGATTGTCGTTTCGGTGTATTAAACGCTGGTAGAAGACATGTATGGCAAATTTCCGCAGTTGTAAGTTGACCAAAAGCAATTTCCAGGAGAGTGATTCGATTTACTTTAAATTCACTTCACTTTAAATTCGTTAACCCAATTTTGTTTCACTTAATCTTCACAAATAACTTCACATCCAACCCCTATCATCAATTCACATTTTATTCTCGTTTGTTGTGTCAAACATTCGATTGCGGTTTTTTTTTCAAATGCTGAACTTCTGTCTATACGTATTTTGCTAGGCCAAAGAGAAACAGCGATTGGTGAGATACCGAAAAGTTTCGAAATGGGCAGTTGATATCATTGAGAATTTTTATATTCGATGGAAGGTTTGTGTTGACACATTAACGAACGACTGTGGTAATAAAGAATAAGCGAATAACGCCTTTTAAAATGTTATCTTTTAGAAACAACAATTTCTAACAACACTGATGATAAGATTGCCACCAACCTGTTTCAGTCCGATAAGCAATGAATGGGTCACAGCTCCGGCATACTTAGCTGAAACATCGTGCTTGCTGCGCGGCATTTTCCATAAGTGGCGAGTAAGTGGCACTTTTCATCAATATTAATTAACACATCGGTCAATAAGTCCCGAGCCTAACCACCAAGTGGCAACACTAATGTCAAACCCATATCATTTTCGAAAACTACAACCTTTTTTAGGAATCCAGTCAAAATTTGAGCCAAATCCGACCATCAGTTCGCTAATTACAGCACTTTAAATGAAGCAATTTTCCAATTTTCCAAAATCATGGAAAAACTGCATTTCTCCTCTCGATTTGACACATGTATTCCAGAAGAAAAACGAGCAGGAGTACCAAACCCATACTATGATTAGTTTATGGCATCCTTAGGCTTTCGAAATCAATCATTAGATATGGAAGAATTGAATTTATGCATAGCCATAAGAGCGATTTTGTCGATAAGCCTCCAAATTGTTCAAAATATGTGGTTTTGGAAGAAATCATTGCCAAAATCCGTTAAGTGATATCGGAATTCTCAAATGTGATAGTTCATAGATTTGCTAAGGCCATAGGGCAACTAACTCAAGCTATAGTTACAACTTTGCATGGATATATGCATATGAAATACTCAATCGAAAAAGCCTTGCCGCGTTTTTGGATATGGAGTAGATAGAACAGTTTTTTGGGGATTCGAAGCCCGTTTGGAGCTGTATAAGTAAAATTTGAATAGGGTTTTGCCTTTATATATTAGAATTAATGTATTTTGAGTTCATTTGAATAGATTCGATCTATAAATTGCGGGTAGAAATCGCCAAAAACGGTTTGTAGCGACCAAGGTCGCAAAATATGAGTTCGGGCATTATTAGTGGATTTAGGTATAGAAAAATATTCGCGAACCAGTGGGAAAGATATAAAACAACATGAAAAGTCACTTATGCATCATTTTAGACCTATCCGAATGTCAAATCTTGATAAAACATAGCAAATTTGGCGAAGAAAACTATGTTGTTCAAATGCGAGTTTCATCCAGGTCAAAGAACTGTTTATATGGTGATATAATTGAACGAAATTGGTTTCAAACTGCTTCACTAACCATTGTATTTTTTAGGTCTGGTCATTCTCTGAACTCTCCACATGAATATACTTGAATACAATGCATCAGAAGAAAGTTATACCGTTTTAACGGCAAAATTGAAGCATTTTCGGGAGTCTTTCTCTCGTATAGCTGTAACTAGCAAACTGATGGTCGGATTTGGCTCAAATTTTGACTGGATTCCTAAAAAAGGTTGTAGTTTTCGAAAATGATATGGGTTTGACATTAGTGTTGCCACTTGGTGGTTAGGCTCGGGACTTATTGACCGATGTGTTACTATGAAGAAATCAAAATATTTGGATATTCTACTAATTTAAATGACACATCATTTTTGCAGTGCCATAAATATCGACGATTCTACGATCAGGTATCGCGGAATCGAATGCGCGAGAAGCTCACCGCAAGTATCCTGTTCAAAAATCGAAAAACATCTTATCCTTTGAGGTAATAAAATGAGATTTTCTACAACTTAAACATTCATATATTGAATATTTGAATCAAATGGATGATGTACTTTAACTGTTTATAAGGAGCCTAGATTCACCATTCTGTTAATTAGCAGCCGCTTTTTTAAGATTATTATTCTGGTTCTGTTTCTGTTTTCCAGTGTATCGCATCCGTTTGTTGGAGATTATGTGCGTTTGCGTCAAAATGTGCAATGGAAGAAGCTATGTATTTCTTTGAACGATCAGTACATTGTTTTTGCCGATATTGTTAATAAAATAACACGATCAACGGGAAAAGTGAGTAGAAATTAAGTCAAGTTGATGGTCGTGAATGCAATTCCTTATTCATTTTCGATCGATAGGTTGCTCCGATTCTGATGGCACTTTCAACGAATGCAATGCTATTGCTCGATCAAAGAACACTGCAAATAAAGTATCGAATTCCAGCCACCGAAATTTATCGCTTGTCATTGAGCCCATATCATGATAACATAGCCGTGTTCCATGTAAAAGATGTAGGTTCTTCCAATTCTTTTGAGTTAATTTGAAACTTGAACATTGATTAATTTTAAAGTTTCAACCAATCTAATAAAAAAAATTCCTCTTTGACAGTCGGAAATGGGCCGAAAGAAGGGAGATTTTGTCTTTCAAACCGCACACGTCATCGAAGTTATTACAAAGTTATTTTTGGTGATTCAAAATGCAACGGGACGACAACCAGACATTTGTATTGACTCCGAGTATGTAACAATTTGCTTCATTTTACTTATATTGCGTGAATCATATTCAAAAGTCTCTTTCCCATCAACAGATTCGATGTGATGTTTAGCAATCAAACGGTAACATTGTCATTTAAATTATCGGCCGGACTAAATGATGCACACGCAGCACTTTTATCGCCCCAATTAAAAATCACCCGTAAAAGTGATCGAATGGAAATCGTCATCTGATTCGTAGTCGTTTTCATTCCGAATCCGAAACTCCAATACCTATTTGTATCGTAGAGATATGAGTATGTGAATTTTGTGAACTGGCTGGAACTGACGCTTCAGTGCCAAAATAGTTGATCCACAACAAATCAAACACTTAGAATTAGACACACAAACACACTCACAAATAATGAACACGATGCACTTCAAAATGGATAATGAAAATGAAACAAACGAATTATTAACAGATTGTTCATAGAGTTTAATGCATTTATACGGTGGACGTTCGTTTATGAATGACGCAAATTTACAGTGAATATACGACTGAAAATAGCACGAATAACAACTTCCAATTCAAATTATCGAATGGATACTATTTTTATGTGTGAATGCCAAAGAAATCGATAACCGCTTGACTGCATAAGATTTCCGGTGCTATTCATTAATTCGAAGCGATGTGTCGACATTTCAATAAACGATCCCCTTGGAGTTCCTTTCAACTACCCATCTAACAATTATCAACCCAAATACATCCGATTCCAGGCACATTTCCAAGGTTGAATACGGGGATAGATTTAACCGTAGAAGTAACCGTCATAGTGATCCAATTGTGCATGGAATAAATGGAGAAAAAATTGCATAAAATTAGCATCAATACATTCAATACTCTTATTTCAATTGAAAAACAATTTACTTACATGGGTACTTCTGGCCTCCTTAGTTAAGTATGTACGCCTACTATACCACAACAATCAGGCATAGCGGAAATAACATAATGTTATATTTTAATTTTTAAATTATTCAATGTGAATGGCGTGAAATACATGATGCTGGTTAGTTGTTGACAGCAGCTCGCTGGTTGGATGGCCTCTGCAATGTTTCGGGTAACTCGTACCCAAACAAGTTGCAGTGTCCTTGAAAATCATACAAGAAAACAATGAATGATATGTAAACAAAGCACTGCACCTCACATCACATGCAATTCAATCAATACCTATAGGTAAACGACGAACATTTCGTTTCCTCCGTTCGAATCCAATCTCTATTAACATTGTCAGCTGTGAAATGAGAACAACGCTTTGTTGTTCACTTGATGTATGACAAAAGCTTTCTTTCAAGCGGTATAAACTGTCTATGAATCTATACCTGATCCGGTAAACGATCAAAAAGATTGAAATCATTTTGAAATGAAGATAAGTCACATCCCTTTTGTTATTCCACCCCATAAAAACAGTACACCGTATTGCGCTAATTGGCCTCAACGTTTAAAATGATGTACATATTGTTTTGCGTTATTTATAAATCCCTTCATTTTGTTTCATGTTCTAGTTAATCAATGGAATGAAAATTGTTTCAAAAGCAAAAACCGCTCAAAAGGGAAGAAAAAACATTATAACAAGAAAGAAAAAAAACAGATTAGTACATTTTTGTTGGTACGTATAGAAGTCAAGTAATAAGTAATATATTACTATTTCCTATTACTATTACAGGCTATTACATAATGGCTATTACATTTAAGATATTACTTTTTCCTATTACTTTTGTAAAAAAAAATTTCAAAGTTTCATATAAAAAACATTTTTTTTTTACAAAAGTAATAGGAAAGTAATAGGCATTACTATTACTATTACATGTAATAGGAGAAAAAATTGTAATAGGAAAGCTATTTACTTATATTACTTGTGTAATAGGATTTACCTATTACTATTACTTTTCCTATTACAGTAATTGTGATAGTAGTAGGTATTTTTTTACAAAAGTAATAGGAAAGTAATAGTAATGGGTAAAGGTCCCATCGATTGCCAGGCAGAGCGCCTGACTTTGCCTGGCAAAATCACGTTTTTTACTTTTATCTCGAAAATATCTTATCTCAGCGGGTGAAACTGGCCCTTCGGGCTCCCAGATCCATGAAATTTTCCGCCCGATCGAATGAGACTGGTCTCAATTTTCCCCGAATTTCATTTTGATTTTCAAATTTTTTTCCAAGATTTTCAATTTTCCGGAAAATTTTCGCGAATTCGAATTTAGTTTGAATTTATACGTTCATAAAATGAAAATGGTTGGAAAAAGGTTGGAAAACTCGGAAAATATTCAATATTTTCGAAATCCAAAATGTACTGAAAATCACTGAAATTTTTTTCATGAAGCCACATCTAGGGGGTAGACACGAAATAACACTAGAAGAAAACTAGCAAAAATTGAGCATACTTGAAGTTACTAGAAGAATATTTGTGAAAAAATTGAGTGATGCCTCTTCCATAAGAATAGCATTGCCAGTGGTTTTTATATGGACAAATTATTCCATTTAGAATATACTGCCAATGCTTTGCTTATGGAGTTCAAATGTTTTGTTTACAAAAAGTACCGTTAATCCTTCCATAAGAAATGCATTGGCAATGCTATACTTATGGAAGAAGCAATGGTACGATACTAGAAAAACTAGAAGAAACTGAACGCATATTTGAACCGATTTGAACGAACTAGCTATACTAGAAATTTGTGTCTAACCCCTAGAGCCACATCCTGGTGCCAGTGCCTTTTCTAGAAAATCTGATCAGGCAGAAAACTTCTATGAACCTTTCTCTTTCCATATCAGAGCTAAAACCATCATGTTTCGGGGAACAGATATTTGGAAATTGAATTTATAAAGACAGGCCAAATGCCAGGCATCTGGGACCTTTAGTAATAGGTGATCCTATTACATATGTAATAGTAATATAATAGCGTAATAGGCATTACAGTTTTTTACTTCTATATTGGTACGTTTGGTGGATGTCATGGGAAATATATTTAATAGATGTTGGTTCAGTGGTCAATTAGTACACACGTCGAAAGAAATTAAAAGCAAAAGCAAAGCATTAAAAGCATATAGTTAGACATATTTTTCTCAGATAATTAGTTTGTAATTATGTAGTAGACAGGTAGTTAAAAGTCGTAGTTGAATCCAACTCACCTCCGCTCTGGATGAAAAATCCTTTATCTCAAATGTTATTTTTTTTTAGAAAATTCAATTAATTCAACAGAGAATTTCACACACAACTTGTGTCCTAAGCCAACGATTAGTTCATCTGACAACGCGTTTTTACGATTATACGTTTACGAAATGGCATACAAATAAAATTCAATTAATAAAAACTAAACCAGAACGATTCATTTCATGTTTTTTTTTTCGATGAACAATGGACAGATGGACGCATTGAGCAGGCATGTGGTCGACGATTACAGCATCAAACTCGTTAGGAGTTGATGCGAATATCGAATTGGTATGATCCAAAATAATATCATCAGCTATTGTAAGTGAAAGTAGTATTCAACAATCTACTCAGCCTTTTCGACAGAAAATACGCCTTACCTACCTTTTCTCATTTAGATATCTTAAAGTTGATGCGAATTTTGTCGACAATTTTCTTGAAAATAGTAATTTTCAATGTAATTGGAACAAATTGCTTGCTCCTTATTCCAAATCTGTGGAAAAATAAAGAAAAAGAAAAAGACCGTTTCGTTTTCTTGTACAGTATATGATTATGATACATTTGGCAAATTTAGTTCCCACAGAAATGATACAAACATGGTTGGTTTGAATGCAATACTTGAAAAAAATGTTATTTGATTTTTTTAGGAACAAATCCCAAATGAACGCTAAATTTTCGTTTAATCTAAGATGCAAAATAAATAAGTTTTTTTGTTGTTGTTTAAAATGGGCACATAAAAATGTCAATAAATGTAGTAACTGAGTTGTTTGTTCAATCTAAATGCACGTAAAATAATAATAAAAATATGTTTTTGTGTTGTTTTTTTTTTGTTTTCTTTTTCAAATCATGTGTACTAAGACAGTTTGATGATTTCGAAATGAAGTGCAACTTACTTAACAATTTTTCTTATGTTCTCTTATGATACGCTTTTGGTTCATTTTCGAAAAAAAGAGAATTTTCAACTTAATTATGTGTAGAACTTTTGTCGAATGCTCATTATTTTTGTTTTTACTGGATTGGCCAATTTTCAACTCTTTTCTTTCTTGTTTCAAATGAAATACAACGTCTAGAAAGCAACACAAAGAGTACAAAAACATACAAGCGCTTTTCAACCGAATTCTGTTGATTTTTCTTCTTCGTCATTTTTCCGACAAAATTTAACTTTTTCCTTGGAGATGCTGTTTATTTCACAAAAGAAAATTGGCCGATATTTGTTTTTCATTTCGATTTTCACGAAAGAGGAAAATTTCCACATTTACCTCGAATCTGCATTGGAATTTGCGTTCTTTTATTTTATCGCTTCAACTTGGTTGTATCTGCTACTTTTTAACGTGTCTGTTTTTGTATTCAACTTTATTATAATTATTCATTTTTTTCATTTTTTTTCTTCAAATTTAAATATAATGATATCGAAACACTTATTATATATTATAATGGGATGCTGGATGTGCCATCCATCCCAATAATTTTATGCTGTTGTTGATTTTTTCTTTTTAATTAATATTGTACCAGCTGCCTATGCTCTTCATACAATAAATAAGCAAACTTATTTCGATCGTTCTTTTCTTTTTCTTTTTTAAAACTTTGTTTGTTGTTTGCGCTGAAACTGTACATAAAATGCCACTGATTTTTCTCGTGTTTGTTTGTGAAATATATCGATACTTTTTTCGTTTTGAAAATCTGCTAGTTTGTTTTCATTCATTGTTGTATCACATGTAATACTTGTGTGGAAATTGTGAAATGAAATGGGCTGGAAGGGCTTCGTTTCATTTCACCATTCGCAATTTTTTGTCATCTTTTCTCTCTAATCAGTTATCAGTTAAACTCTTCACTGGATGAAACGAACAATATTCATAATAATCGTTATTTCATATATTTTTTTTTGGTTTTGTTTTGTTTTTAACTTGCTTGATTATAAAAAAATAATTCGAACCATAAAGTATAGTGATAACCAAAGCATTATTTTGGCAAATGTTTTCTCTTATGTTTGTTTTTTTTTTTCATTTCAACCCATTAACGCCCAGACAAAAAAAAATTAATTTTTTTTCCTCAACTTCAGGCCAAGGCTAACTTGAGACCTGGAGTGATTTATACGAAAGTATAGGTATTTTTGGAAAGCCACAACATTATCCGGTTTAATGGTATATGTTATATACGTACATATGTCACATGTAAGAAAAATTTAGTGGTAAATCTTCGAAAAAGTCAGAAATTGTTTGTGTCCCAAAAATAGGACGTTGGGCGTTAATGGGTTAAAAAAATTTCCTTTTAAATGTTCTGTGTTATCCTGAAAGCAAATCTCACAAATTAACTTTTCTTCTGTCAGCAAGAATTTAAATTCGTTGGTATATTCAGTGTATATTGTGAGTGTGTTCATGTCTGCTTCCTGTTTCGATCGTCCATTTGTTGTTGATGTTGTTAAATTGATCAAGTTTCTCTTCTTTTCTTCATCTAATTATGCATCTACGTGTAACTCTTGTGCAGTTAGTGGTAAGTCGTTAAATCACATTTGTTTGTATGGCGAGTGTAATTTAAGGTACTGTATAACCAGAGAAGGGCCGCCGCCAACAACTGAAATGAATGTAAAAAAAGAAAAACACAAAATCAGTACTCAAAAATGCGAACATGCCAGAAATCGGCCGAATGAATGGAATTTGGATTTGGATTTGAGGGGATTCACCTTCGGACGGTATTGCACTTAGTGGGCAATTTTCAATGCTCATTATTTGTAGATTTTGGCATAAAGCTAACTCATATGGAAGTTTGACCAAGTTTTGATTATCATTTACGTATAAGCTTTCCAGTTTCTCTAGCGTACCAATTTCCTCGGGCAAAAACTGCAAATTATTCTCGCCAATGGATAAATATGTGAGATTTGTCAGGTGTCCAATAGTTCGAGGTAAAGCTGTCAGTTGATTTGATTGTAAAATCAATCGTTGTAAGTCTCGTAGTAAGCCTATTTCATTGGGAAGCGATTCGATGCGATTTTCTTCCAAGTCTAGCACTCTCAATTTGCGTAAGCTACCGATCGTGTTGGGGATTTTCTTCAGCAAATTATTTGACAGAATGAGAATTTCCAAATTTTGCAGGGAATGTATGTCGTCTGGGATTTTTGATAGTGAATTTGTGCCCAGATTCAATTCAACCATGTGCAGCCAGTTGCCAACATCCAATGGAAGTGAGGTGAGAACATTCTCTTTCATATTGAGTTTGGTGATACCTTTTGCGCGCGAAAAAATGCCATATGGTATTTTATCGATTTGATTGTGCTCCAAATTGATCGATGTAACGTTTGTGAATTGAGCTGGTCCACCTGTTGGATACGTGGTGAACAGGTTGCGCGACAGCGTAATTGACGTGAGCGATGTTAGGCTGGCCAGCAAACCGTCCGGCAACGATGATATTCCATTGCCCTCCACATTGAATTCGTCCATGTACTTGCAGTTCTTGAGCGAGGCTGGTATGTGCGTGAGCCGATTATATCGCAAACCAATTCGTGCCAAATTCTGCAAATTGCCAATCGATTGCGGAATATCTAACAGTTCATTGTGCTGCAAATCCAACGCACTGAGATTGGTACAGTTGCCGATTTCTTCGGGCAAATGCTCGAGATGATTGTGCGATACATCAAATGTGGTGAGATTGACTAGAAATCCAATGCCGGACGATAATTCCCGGATTTTATTCTCTCGCAGACTGAGCATTGTCAAATTGGTGAGTTTGCTGATGCCGAAGCCGACATTTTTGATGCGATTGAATCGCAAGTAGAGTGTTGTCAGCGAGGTCAATGTGTAAATCACTTCAGGTATTTCAGAGAGTTTGTTGTGTCTCAGATCAAGCACCTTGAGTTGCTTCAGATTCGACAACGAATCCGGCAATGAGGTAAGAGAGTTTTCATTGAGCGCCAACGTTTTCAAGTTTGCCAGACATCCGATCTCGGCGGGCAGCGAAACAATTTTATTGCCATACAGGTAAATTTCGGCTAAATTTGTGCACTCTTTCACCGATGGCGGTATCAATGTAATTGACGACTTGCTGAGATCTAACACTTTGATATTTTCGTCGCGACATCGTGCGAATTCCTTGATCACATCCAAATCCGCCTGAATCGGTTTGGTTTTCTTCGTCGTTGGCTTCGGTTTATTTGATTCAGGATGCTTGACCGTAACTTGTTTTGGTCGCGATTCCACAGACATTTCGTTGCTTGTACTCGCATTCGAACTAGTCGATGACGATCCAATATTCATACTTTTGAATTCCACACTTTTCCAATGCGAATGGGTCGTCGCTCTCTCTCTCTCTCTCACTCTGTGTTTGTGTTTGTGTTTGTGCTTGTGTTGCTTTATTTCACTAAGCCACAAAACGACGAAATGGAAGCAGTGCGAGAATATTGTGTTTTATGAGAACGAAAAACACAATGCTCAATGAAATGTTGTGTTTATCTTATTTTTGTCTTGAAAACTGTTCGCATTTACATTCTCCATCCAAACATTCAAGCATTCGGATACGCCGAAGTTCTATTGCTGCTGCTGTTATTGTTGTTGTTACTGCTGCTACGGCTGCTGTGCCTATGCTGCTGTTCGTTTCGCTGTTTATGTGTTATTTATCGTTCGTGTGGATTTTCTCCAAATTTATCCCATAACATAGGTCTGCATTTTGTAACAAGAAATTTTTATTTCACACAGAACAACAAATTCAACAATCACAAATAGACAAATAAAATGTCAGCATCCAAAAAGTAGAGACAAACACTTAATGAATTAAAAAAAAACACTCGAAACGATGAAAACAAATGTTCGTTTTGCTGTCTGGTCGAGCTATTTTGGGATCTTATAGCAATATTAGAAAAAATTAAGGATAATGGCGTCTATGAAAAACACCCCGCACCATATTAAAAGAGAAAAAAAAGTATCCGTGAATTCAGCATGAAGTTGGCACACGGTGCGACCTTAGAACTGCTTGTGTTAATGAATTTCAAATAGAAACCATAAATTTAATATTTTATTTTATTTTATTTTTCGCACATAAACTACGTTTTATCCACCAAATTTTTGTTTTCTATTTTATTTCATTTTTAATTTATGTGTTCATGAAACGCGAATCGATGGTCGATTTGAACTTGGTAAGAATGAAACAAAAAGGACGAGATGGGAAAAATGGCAGAAATCGAAAGTGGATATCGTTGGTTCATAACAATTTTATCAAATTAAATTGCCATACACACATTCTGATAATGGAATTTGACCGTGATTGTACGGAGAGCTTAAGCGAGAAACGTCAAAACTGTCTTCTCCGATATTGATTTACGTAATTGTTATTCGTACCAGAGGGCAGCATCAGTATGCAAGATACACACACTGAATGCACACATATACAGAAAGAAAAATGAGCAGAAAGTGAAGTAACAAGAGACGACATATCTTTTGTTGTTATTTAAACGCAGATAGAAGAAAAAAAAACAAAGTAAACTGAAGGAATTGCGATTGATTTGGTGCACAAAAAGGCGAAGAGTCGATTAGAAAAAGGAAGCAAGTGTAGTAGTGCGGCTCGACACCATATAAGTACGTATGGTGCGTTCTGAGAAAACCCAAACGCAAAATAATAATGGTAAAAAACCAGGAAAATCATCGGATTGTGAGAATGAATACATGACAACATCTGAATCCGACTCACCGACCACTGAGACTCGCGACTCAGTTCACAAACAAAATTTATATATCGTTTCGTTTCCAATTATAATTTTATTTAACATTTTACGTTCGATTTTATACCAATTTTTTATCATTTTTAAATATATTTTTAATGTTAGTTCACATTATATGCCGCTACGAAAACGGCAACCACCAAATATACAAGTTTGTGTGAATGATAGTGAAAAAATGCAAGAATTAAATAATCAAGTAACTGGTGAAAGTGGTAGTATGGCTGCACGACCTCATCCAATTTCTGGCCCCGGTCCGGGCGATCCATTGCTCGCTAAACAAAAGCATCATCATCGCCGTGCATTTGAATACATTTCCAAAGCGCTCAAAATTGACGAAGAAAATGAAGGTTAGTTCAATGTGTGTACGCGAAAACGATTTGGCCTTTGACCCAGCCGCACGTTCAATGTTAAATTTGATTGTCAAGCCAATTGATGATTCATCAATTTTTTATTGGTTTTCTTTTTCGGCACGTCACACAGGACAAAAGGAAGTCGCTATCGAATTGTATAGAAAAGGAATTCGCGAATTGGAATTGGGCATTGCGGTTGATTGTTGGGGCGGCCGAGGTGAAATTTATGAACGGGCACAACGTTTACACGAAAAAATGCAAACCAATTTATCAATGGCTCGAGATAGATTGCACTTTTTAGGTGAGTTGCAGTGATTCCCTTTTACAACATAGTGTCTTTGATGCTGTGTGACACATTCAAAATGTTGAACATTTTTCTACTATTTTTTCCGCTCGACTTGATGCAGCATCAGGACAAAAGCTCATCGTTGTAAACAAAAGAGGCAGCGGCTTAACCAACAAGTCACAAACACTACCACGGAGCATGGGCTCTCGTGTGCCAGCTCTTAGTGATGGAAGACCCCAACGGCTACCAACTAAACCAGCAACAACACCGCCAGTCATTCGTAGACAATTTTCGGTAACTATTTGAATTGACCCAAGAGAATGTGAAGAGAAATTTAAGTGTATTTTCATGAAATAGATCACTGGTTCACCAATACATAAGCCAACAACAGGCCGTAGTACACCACCGTTACGTTCGCGATCTGGAACGGTTACACCAACATCCAACAACGCTGCCGTCGGACTCGCGCCGCAAATCATACAAGTCAAAGGAGTCGACAACAAACTGGTTCAAATAATTATGGATGAAATCGTGGAGGGTGGTGCTAAAGTGAGGTGGAATGACATCGCTGGTCAAGAGGTAGAGACTTGAGACTTTTCTACATTCAAGGGATGATACTTACGTTTTGAACACGTTCTGAATTCCAGATTGCAAAACAAGCTCTCCAAGAGATGGTTATACTGCCCAGCGTTCGACCGGAGTTATTCACGGGGCTCCGTTCACCAGCCAAAGGTATGTGTTGACTTCAATCAACTTTGATTTCCCAGACTACAACCGAATTTACCTTATTCCAAATGTCTTTCGTATTTCAGGTTTACTTTTGTTTGGTCCAGCAGGTAATGGGAAAACCCTGTTGGCCCGTGCAATAGCCACTGAGTGTTCAGCGACATTTTTCAATATATCAGCTGCATCGTTAACGAGTAAATACGTTGGCGATGGTGAAAAATTGGTGCGCGCCCTGTTTTCAGTTGCTAGGAAATTGCAGCCATCAATAATATTCATTGATGAAATCGATTCGTTGTTGTCAGAACGAAATTCCAGTGAGCACGAGGCATCGCGTCGCTTAAAAACCGAATTTCTGGTAGAATTCGATGGTTTGGGTAGTCAGGAGAACGATCGAATTGTGGTGCTTGGAGCAACAAATAGGCCACAAGAGCTGGATGAGGCAGCTTTGCGTCGCTTCACTAAACGAGTCTATGTGACATTGCCCGATCAGTCGACTCGTGAGCATTTGATTCGAAGCCTTTTGGCTAAGCAAGGATGTCAACTACCTGACGATATTATACGTAATTTAGCCGTTTACACCGAAGGTTATTCCGGTTCTGATCTCACAGCACTAGCAAAAGATGCCGCATTAGAACCCATTCGAGGTAAGTGTACTGATCGTAATCTAAAAATAACGATTCTCATTTAATCAAATTGCGAGTCATAATGGTTGATCTTATCAATGACAATACCAACAACAACAACAACAACAACAACAACAACAGCCAAAAGCACTTGAGTGATCAATCAATGTCATTTTTATATTTAAAAAAAAAATCCAACAGAAATCGATGTGGAACAGGTGAAGAACGTAAATCTCAAGGAAATACGGCCGATAACTGAACAAGATTTTGTCAACTCCCTGAAGAGAATACGACGCTCTGTCGCACCACAAAGTATTGTCGCCTACGAAAAATGGGCAAAAGATTATGGTGATGTAACTTACTAGACTTCATTTTAACATGCTAACTCATACATATTACAATTGCTGGACATGAGATTTGGTTCTTTGATTTTTGGGATTCATAAAACAAAGGCAAACAAAAACAAAAACAAATACAAAGGAAAACCTAATGAAAAAAAAGACAAAAATATCTATAAAATGCCGCTTCAACCGCTACCAATAATATATTAAATACATATGTATGTATGTTTTGAAATTAGCTAATCTACAAATTGAAGGACAACAAAGAAACAAACAAAAGAAAGAAAAGTAAACTACTTTGAATTTGCTGTACTTTGTAAGGCACAAAATATATTTATTTAATAATACTAAAAATGATTCCATTTTTCATTGTAAAAATTGTAAAATTAAAAAAGAAAAAAAAATGAAAAAATATATTTCATGTATTTGAATTCATTTTGTGTTTTTTTTTACTTCGTTTGTTCCTCAGTTAATAATAATTGGCTTGAAAAAAGTACTCTATAATTGTTTCGCGGACGATTTTTTTGTGAATTTAATCTATTCGTGTTTTTGTTGTGTTTTTTTTTTTCTCTTGTAGAAAACTTGTGATAGCCTTATCATTCGAAGTAATTAAATTAGAAGTTCTGCCGTTGTGCAGTTTTATATTTAGATTCTTTTTGCGTATTTTCTTCATTTTTTGTTGTTGTTATCGTGATTTCGATTTACATTAGTTCCTGTACAATGAATCTCTCCTATCGAATTTCAGTTTAATACTAATCTTTGTTGTTGTCCTGATTCCGCTTGAGCATATTATAAAACTCTCTCTACCCTGACCAATCTTCAACATGCGATTTTTATGTTTGTATGTGTTTCTTCTTTCCTCACTCAGTTGTTTCGTGATCTATCTCAATGTTTTTTGATTATGCTCAAACGCATCTAACTCGAACAAAAACAATTTTTTTTTCTTATCTCGAAATAATAATAATAATAATAATTAATATTTGTTTTTGTTTTTGTTTCATTCTTTTCATTGTTTTCATTTTTTGTTTCCTTACCATTTCATTAAATATTATGTCAATGTACAACAGCCCAATTAGACACCATTAGGATAAGACTGAACAAAAATCTATCGTTGCATAAATAAACTATAACATAGAAAACACCCGCCAACTAACATCAGAGCTCTTCTCTTTAGAGGAGAGTCAATTTGTGTTTCTTCTAAATTTAACACAGCTTGAGCAATGAACCACATTTGTTTTTTGTTTGTTTGTTTTGTTTCTAATTGTTGGTGATAAAATAACGATGCAATGTGTTGCTTTTGGATTTTTTGCTGCCGGGTCGTGTTTTCAGTACAACATTGGCATGAGATTCGGTGGTAGTGGTAGTGGTGGTGGTTTCGTGGGACGTACGCCACTGATTCAGCAGCTCCTCTTGCACTTCAAAAGGTAGCTCTTTGAAAACTTCGGGATCAACGATCGGCGGAAAGTTGGTTGAATTTGAATTAGTCGTTGCTGTTGCTGTTGCCGTAGCCGTCGCCGTCGTTGTTGTAGCAGCCGCTGCCCCTATTGTCATTTTGCTCGGCGTCGATTGAGCATTGACCATTTCGTGGGTAGTATTACGATTCGATGGTGGAACAATACAAGGCACAACGTGTTCGGCAAACGTTGCTTTGAAGTCATGGGGAGAATGCATATTGACATCTGAATCGGATGAGTTTAGTCGTAGGTCGGCAACACGCAATTTCGACGGTGATGCCGTTTCGGCCGTTGAATTGGTGGCAAAACATCGACGCTTGGCCAACGACAAACTGAATTTATTCTTTTTCGGCGATGGTTCAATTTCCGATTCCGATATGTCCGACGAATAGGAAGCATGCGACGCCTCTGATATTGTATCGAAATCCATTTGGGTGGGCGAACTGCGAAGTTGATAATTTTTTATCGATTGTAGACCATCGCTGCTTAGGCTTGTGATCGATTGCACTTCCAAATCGGCGGTGCGAATGAGAAAATTCGCGATGGATCTGGACACATGGGTGCGCTCTTGGAATTTCGAAAATGACAATCCAAGCAACGTGATATTAAACGGTAATTTCAAATTAACGACTCTTTCAAAAAGTCTCATCACAATTTTCAGTAGTTTCTCCTGTCCATTTTCGACGAGCACAATTCTACCGTTGCCCGTGTCTTTGAACAGTGAAGGCAGAATATTCGCTTGTTTCGTTTCACGATGCGACGTTTTTTTTATCGCATCGTATTTACGAACCGTAATCTTAACAACAAGTGGAATGCGACCATCTTCAGCAACCTGATTCACCAATCGGATGAGCAGCAAACGGAATTTATCCTCAACATCGGCTCGAATCGAGATCGATCGACACGAGTCTTCAATGCTAAGAGTTTTTGATTTGCCCGATGCAATTACCGCTGATTTGTCGATGCCGAGGCTCCAATTCCTGTATTTTACTGCTGTTTCAAAGCCGAAAATCTTTTGCAGTACCGTAAAATCCATGTCCTGCAATTCCTTAACCGTTCGTACACCGTATTCGTTAAGTAGTTGTTCGGCTTTTTGGCCGATTCCCGGGATCGATCGAATCGTATCGAGACCAATCATCACGTCAGTGGTACAGGATGGAATTAATACTGTTTGTTTGTTTGGTTTATTTTTTGCGCCAACAATTTTCGCCAAAATTTTATTATGAGCAATGCCAGCACACGATGTTATCTGCAATTCACTGAACAGTTTTTGGCGAATATCACGTGCCAACCGCACACCAATCGTCAACCGCTTTTCACAACCACAGCCACAAGATGCTAACGTTTCATATTCAGGGAACACATGACAATCGGGCAGCATGTTTTCGTCAATGTTTCGATCGCACTCGCTTGAAATTCGAGCATTCACAATGTTCGTGACGTCCAAGAAATTCTCGTCCATGCCCAGTTTTTCGACGAGCGGTGTAAATGTTAACAGTACACTGTGGATCTTGTTTGACATTTGACGGTACGGTGTCAGATCTTCCCCCTTGACCAGAATCAGATCAGGACACAGTCGCAGAGCATCCGTCAGCAGCATCAATTTCTTAACGCCATACGTACGAGCCACATAGTTGCAGGTGACCACGATGTTCTTTTGTTGAATGCCCAGTGGTCGATTTCGCAGTGTTGGATCCCGTATCTCTTCGACCTGTGCATAGAAGCAATCGATATCGATGTGAATAATGACATTGGTATGCTGCTCTTCACTCAAACCGAAGGTTGACTCATTCTCATCCATATTGCAGTGCGTTCGATATCACAAAACTGGAACACATGCAAAAAGTGAAAGATAAAACAAAATCATCAGACAAAATGGAAAGATGGATATTAAAGTGGTATCGCTCAATATTTGTGTTGTTGTTGCCTGCCTCACAAATTGTGTTTTTGTTTGTGTGTCACATTTCGTCCGTTTAGGATGTACTGTAATTTATTCGCAATGTGGTGAAATTGTATTCGCACCGAACAACAAAACAACACACAGCTCAAAAGCAATTATGGTCAAGTACACCGATCTGATTCAAGGAAATGGAAAAACACTTGGAATATTTTATTTTGGTTTTTACACACATTTGACAGCTAATTGAATGTTTGTTTTTTTTTACTTTTTCTTTCGAAATGTGCGTGATAAACCGATGATCAATATCATTGTACATTTTCTGAGGCAAAACAATACACACAATTTGTTGGCATACAAAGTAAATGAAGTAGTAATGTTTTCAATTCTTACTCTGACAGCTTTCGTACTGTTCCCGATTGATAGTGAAGCACTTCGATTTATTTATCGTCACTTTTCTCTTTGGCTACCATTAAATCAGCCTTTTGAAATGGTCGAAAATTAAACAAACAAAAAATCAAATGGTTGGTGATTTGTGTTTGCTACAAAATAAAATTTGTTGCGATATTGTACAATTGAATTTTTACATTATTAAACTGGCTCACGTTTACGCATTGAAACAATACAAAAAACTCTCTCTCTCTCTCTGTGTGTGTTTGTAAATCTTTGTTTCTATTTCTGACGAATGGTCTTCAAACACTACATTCATGCCATCTACTCTTGTGTGTGAAGTGTTGTCATGAAACATATCGATAGAAAAAAAGAAGTGAAATGTCTGCTCGAAATTTCGGTCGCATAAGGTGCCTGAACTGCTTTGACTTTGACAGTTGCGTTTACCTCTACACACATTTGGCACGCAGATTCGAATGTTATGGAAACTCACCAAAAGAATAATTTCAGAAAATTATTTTTACAAAGAATTGAATCAAATTTTGGTTATAGAAAAAATTAAATCAATATTCGGAATAAATTGGGGAAAAAATTATTTTGTCATTGTTTTATTGGTTGATGTATTGCTGTTAACGAATTCCATAGCATTTGTAAAACCAATCGTTTTGCAGTTGAAATGGACTTTGACATGCGACAAATCAATTCTATTGAATAAATTAAAATACGACAATTAAATTAAGCTGAAAATAATTATGAGAAAAAAACAAAATAACAATTTAATTGTGGAAAATCATGAATGTTTTCGTGCACATCGTTCACCAGCGACACCTATGAGTCAGTGAAAAAATGTCCCAATTAACTGCAACAATCGTAAAATTAGCTAAATTTAGTGATTAATTCGTAAAATCGAAATGAAAAATGACAATTATCAAAGCTTTTGCATAAAAATGATGTAAAAAATCCAAATATTCGGAATGGAATTGCGCATTTTCATTGACCAATGGACGATTGGAGAGTAAAATGTCGTGCAGAGACGAGGAACTCTGTCGTAGTGTACATAGTGTTTTTTTTTCATTTCGTCTGCGTTCAGTATTCACAAACGTTCTTCAAGAGCGCCCCCTTCTCCACAGTTTGTGGTACAATAGAGAGAAAAAGAAATTTAGAAGCGATTGTAAATTATTGGCTCTTAAATTAGTGAAACGACAGCGACAAATTACCGCCGGGTCTTTTGTTCTCGATTAGAATTGGTGTTGGAAATACGCGGACTGTGTGCAAAAAGTTCACTTGAATCGAAATTGTTTGGCGATTATTATCGTAGGTGAACGGGATAAGAGAGAAGTTTAGCGGTGTGAATTATTGTGATTCAGTTTTTTTCTCGTCTCCTTCAATTCCAAACCGAATTGAATATATATCGTAGAGAGAACAGGACCCTTTTTGTATTTGGTATACATATTTTAGCCACGTCATGTTGGCAATGAAGCAAATGTCGTAGCCGTAGACGCCTTTTTGAAGCCAAAAAGAAATTTGTGAGCAAATAGACGGCTTTTCTCATATTCATATATTACTGCATATATATATATACATAGAAATTGTTTTTTTTTTGTAACAAAGCGAAAAAAATATTACCAAACGGAATTGCAAACAATCATTGAACAAAGAAAAAATATAATATTCTAGCATATTAGATATTACATAGACAACACGTAAGTTTTTTTTTCTGCAGCCAATTCTCATGTGTTTTATAGAAGAAAAAAAAATTCATATATATTCGTGTGGTAAACATTTCGTACTTCTGTCTCTCTTACTTTCAATCCAAATATTAAAGTAGTACGCATCAGCGCGATACGAATGTGTGTAGAATGTGTAAATCATGTACTTGCATCGTATATTTTCCTCGGTACATGTTATACTATTCTGTGTGTATTAAAATTTCGCATGCACACAAAAATTCGCGAATGTTTTCATGCAGTTCGAATCAAAGCAACAAAATAATGCCAAACACAGAGCAAATAAAAAATAACAATAAAAAAAAGATTCACAAAAATTGAAACCGAAATCACGTTGCAAAAGTGAATTGAAATATTTTTAAAACGAGGAAATAAACAACGAAAAATTTAATTTAAATAAACAAATTGTGCGCATTGTGAAACGAAATCATGTGTTGAAACGTGAAACGTGTTCAAACTGGAAAATAGAGTGTAAAGTTGGAGCGCTTCAAAACTGTTTTTTGCTACTCTTTTTCTTTCGACGTTTGCATTAATGATGAACCGCATGAAACGATGGATCTGTGCTTTGATTTTGTATCTTAATTACACTGGACATCCAATGAATAATCGCGCTCAGCCCTTGATTCACTTTTCCTAACGCTTTGACAGTTTTCTATCCATCGACCGCTGTTTGGTATCGGTTTCTGTTTCACATCCTGTGTGTGCAAATATACAGCTATATCACAGTAGATCCGCTCCTTTGTCATCACGGTTCATTATTCGTGTGTGCTCTCGCGTTATGTGATTCTGATTTTGCGCCAAATTTCAATTCGACCGTCTTCATTCAAGTAGTTTTCTTTTCATATATCCTTGTGTGTTTCCGTTGTGTGCTTCTATTTTTTTTTCTCCCTGTGCTTGTGTGTATTTTCGTTTGAAGTAGAGAGAAACTGAACCAACAAACACAATCAAAAAGCAAAAAAAAAAGTTCCGTAGATTCTGGTGCCAAAATGGCCTAACATCAAAACACTTCGTTGTCATTGGAATTGTTTTCATTCTCGTGTTTTTTTTCTCTTTCTGTGTCGTTTCTGTCATATATAGGTTGTATTCAACATGGATGATTCGCAACCGAAAACCCTTTACGTAGGAAATTTAGATCATAGTGTTTCCGAAGATCTGCTATGTGCACTTTTTGGCCAAATGGGAACAATAAAAAGTTGCAAAATAATCCGCGAGGCGGGCAACGATCCGTATGCATTCATCGAGTTCACAAATCATCAATCGGCCACCACTGCACTGACAGCGATGAACAAACGATTGTTTTTAGACAAAGAGATGAAAGTGAACTGGGCAACAAGTCCCGGTAATCAGCCGAAAGCTGATACCAGCACACATCATCACATCTTTGTGGGTGATTTGAGTCCGGAAATCGAAACAGAAACACTACGTGATGCATTTGCTCCGTTTGGTGAAATATCAAATTGTCGCATTGTGCGCGATTCGCACACATTAAAATCGAAAGGTTACGCGTTTGTGTCATTTGTGAAGAAAGCCGAAGCTGAAAACGCCATACAGGCAATGAACGGCCAATGGCTCGGTTCCAGATCCATTCGAACAAATTGGTCAACACGGAAGCCACCACCACCGCGTGACTCATCCGCCAAGGGTTCAAAAAATGGCCGACCAACCTATGAAGAAGTTTACAATCAAACCAGCTCAACTAATACAACAGTCTATTGTGGCGGTTTCCCGGCAAACACAATCACTGAAGATGTTATGCATAAGCATTTCGGCCAATTCGGTTCCATCCAAGATATTAGAATTTTTAAGGATAAAGGTTTTGCATTCATAAAATTCACAACGAAAGAGGCAGCTACACACGCTATCGAGAAGACACACAATACCGAAATTGCCGGCCATCCGGTGAAATGTTTCTGGGGCAAAGAAGGTGGCGGCGATGCCAATAATGCGCAATCATCGGTGATGGGTAACGCGACGATCGGTTGTACGCAACAAACTCAACCACAAGGCACACAATATCCATATTCATATCAACAAATGGGATATTGGTATCCGGTAAGTGTTTTGCTGCTGCTGTTGTTCTTGTTGTTATTGCTGTTGCTGTTGCTGTTGCTGTTCCTTACTACTGCCGCTATATTTAGCTGCTTTTTCATTAAATGGCATCGCTCGTGTTGACCATCATCATTCATATTGCGAATTTTTCACATCATTTCAATTTTATTTTTCTTCTTTCTACTCCGTCTATTCTGTAGGGATATCCAGCTCACATGCAAGCACAATACATGCAACAACAATATCCTTCTTACACGTACGCTTACACAAACCCGCAACAACAAGGAGGTGCAGGTATGTAAACCACTCTCTAATTTTGCGGTTCATTGCCAATTTACCAAGCAATTTTCCATCAATTTTGCTTTTTCTTTTTCTTTTTCTTTTTTTTCTTCTGTCGCTCTTTGGCCAACTCGTGTGCCGCTCTGTCTGTCTGTGTCGTGCCCGTTTTTAATTCAAATTAGCTGCAGCATATCGCATGGTTCAACCGAATGTGTGGGGTGTTCAAACAACCGCTGGAGCAGCAGTACCTGGAATGCCAAACAACAACGCAGCAGCTCAGCCGCAAATGATGTACACTTCGATGCCTCAATACCAAACACAATGAGATCTGAGCATAAGTCCACTTTCGCAACAAAAATCAATGAAATAGTTTAACACACAGGATACGAGTATAAAGATAAAACAGAAGAAAGCAACAAAAAAAGAACACAAATACAGCACAGTAAAAAAATTCAAACAAAAAGAAAAGGTAAATTGAATTCTTGGATATTAAAACATACGAAAAAGAAACCGAATGAAATAGAAAACTACATGAACACGAAGGGAACGATAAACATTGTAGATTTGTGAATTGAATTTGTTGCGAAAATGTTTGATTGGAAATTTGAGGGAAACACACGTAAGAAAAAAGAAAAAAACGAAGAAAAGAAAAACAAATTGAAGAAAAAACAGTAATGTAGCATCTAACATCATCAACAACAACAATAGCATAAACTCAAAACGATGCATTGAATCGAATTGATTAAGACAGAATCAAGATTGTGTCGGTCAAAAATAAACGGAAAGATGAAGAACTCTAATTCAACCATTGAACGGCAAATTTACTAAGAGAATAAGATGGATCTTTTTCTGCATTGAAATTTATGCAAAAAAAAAAACAAAAATGTAGAGAAAGATGTGTGATATATTCAAGCAAACAATAAAAAAAGAGAATACAATTGAAAAGAAGTATAATTCTATAAATTATGAAGAGAATGAAATTAAGAAGAGAAGAACATAACTAAGAAAATAATGTCTAGTAATCAATGCAGTGAAAGAACAAATTAAAAAAGTGAGACATAGTTTTATGAATTCAAGGGATACAACAACAACAAAAATGAATGAATGAAAGAAACAAAGCAAATTATTTAAAATAAAAACAACAACAATAAAAAATGTAATTTAACGATGAAGAAATTGAAGACAGCAGCATTGAAAGTTGTTACTTATTACAAGCGATTAGATTTGATTTGATTTGTGTCAAACCGCGAATCAGATCGAATTTATGCAAACAAACAAGAAAAATGCACAGAGAACACAAGAAGAGAGAAATCTGGGAGATGGAAAAGGTGAAGCAACGAGCGGCGATCTGAATGAGATAAAGAAGAAAAGTAATCCAAACAAACCGAAACCGTGACAAAGATCGCCCAAACACATTTGTGTGTGGTGATCCTTTGTTGGTCCCCCTTTTTGATTTCCATTTCGACATCGAATTTTGTCCGTATGTTTATTTCGTTAACTTTTAAATTATTCTAAAAGCAAAACAACAACAACAAAATCCCACACACCTACACATACTAAATTATTCTAAGTAATTATTATTATTTTACAGCTGATCGATAACCACAACATCGACAATAAAGTATTATTTATGCTATTGATTGACGATACCAAGCGTCAATTTATCTCTCTCTCTCACACACACACTCACATACATACACAAACAAACAAACTCTCGATTCAGCTGCGCAACCATTCTGAAAATCGCATTCTCAATTCGACAAATTCAGCATCCACTCTAAATATATTCTGCTCAAATGCCCGTAATCGTTCAACAGACTCAAAGGAAGAAAAAAAAAACAAACGAAACGAAAAGAAAAAGAAGAAGAAATAAACCAACCAATCTATGTGTAAAGAAAAAACCCTATAAGCAACTATCGAAAATTTCGTTATTTTGGTTAAATACAAGCAACAAACAAACAAATGTGAAACAAATAAAAATTTAGCTAGCAACAAAATAAGTGAGGAATTTTCTATTTGCAAACGTTAAGTCTAACAACTTGACGTTTTTGTGTGCCAAAAACGGCAACATGACGGAGAATGAATAAAGAGATGGAACATGAAGTAAAAGAGAAAAAGAAGAAGAGGAAGAAGAAAAAAAACCCATGGAATAAAAGAAGTAAATTTTATGGACAAAAAACATACATTTTATTTTTAAAACAGAATGAGATAGACGCAATGATGAAAACAACAAAATTCAAATCATTGATGACGAAATGCATACGGTACACACAATATGCCCATGACTTTCGCTCAATGACCACACTCTTACATTAAACACTTTGGCCAATCCCCAGATGGAATAAGAAAATATATATAATACTGGACTTTTCTTTATCGAAACACAACATTCAAATCGAAGGTTATATGAAGAAGAAAAAATGAGATAAATCTAAATTAAGATTCCGAGTTGTAAAACAGAAATAATATTTTAATTTATGGACATTAAAATACAAACAATAAAAATTTTGAGTTAAAAAAAACCATACGACAAAGCAAGCTTTTTTATTCAATGTGATCTAATTTTAGACGACTACAATTATGAATTTGGAATGGGCATGCAAATGCATCCATCTTTTCACATGCTGATCAATCTTGATCAAATGATTCACATCAGTCTTCGATTGGTGAACAATCACTTGCTCGAACATCAGTATCTTATTTTCATGTAAAATATACAGTGTATATTATACACCCGAACGAGGAGATGATGAATTCTATGCTGAGATGCGAGCACACTGCTAAACGGAGCATCGGATAATGTTCATTGTTGATGCGATTCGATGCAAAATCTCGCAGTACTCACGCTATTGAGGTCAACTACGTAATAGAATATGGGAACTTACGCGACTCAAACAACTGCACAGTGCACATTTGGACCATTTTGATCAATTGTTGCTATTTTCAGGCCTTTCAAGGAATATCAACAAGTTCAAGTGCTTGAAATCTTTGAATTATTGATCAACATATTTGCGATAACAGAATCGATTAATGGTGCGTATCAATCGTGTGTTCACTACGTAAATGTTTGATTGAGTAATAGGCAAAACCGAATTTCAGCCCAACACAAACTGAATGAATGGCAGACCACATTTGCAATGATTCAATACAATCGAGTTTTCATAGTTTGGAAGAGAAAAAATGGTATTTTTTAAAGATAAAATGAATTTGAAATGTGTATCATAATGTGATCGTTATTGAGAATGTGGAAAAGTTACTCAATTCCAGTCAATGGTTCCATCACACGAGGTCAATGACTTTGATTCTACACTCGAATGTCGAATTGCTTCTTTTTTATTCAACAAAGACTAAATTTCATCAAAAATACTAAACACATTCCTTCTTATATGCCGCTATCTACCGCGCGAAATTTCTTTTAAAGATTAGAGCAATAATTTCGAAATACCACCTTTTGTATCTTCACAGAATCTTCAAGTGATTGCTGTAACTTAAAGTTTAATTGATCTTCAGGATAATTTGAATATGGTCTAAGTGTAGCACAGAGATATGGCCATGGATTGCTCTCTGAATGTCATAACTTGAATTTGAATTTAAAGTACTCTCTTCTAGGGGTTAGACACCAATTTCTAGCATAGCTAGTTTGTTCAAATCAGTTCAAATATGCGTTTAGTTTCTTCTAGTTTTTCTAGTATACAAGCAGAAACTCAAATATTCTGCTAGTATTTCTAGTATCTACCATTGATTCTTCCATAAGTATAGTATTCTTATGGAAGGATTAACGGTACTTTTTGTAAACAAAACATTTGAACTCCATAAGCAAAGCATTGGCAGTATATTTTGAATGGAAGAATTTGTTCATATAAAAACCACTGCCAATGCTATTCTTATGGAAGAGAGATCACTCAATTCTTTTCACAAATATTCTTCTAGTAACTTATAGTATGCTCAATTTTAGCTAGTTTTCTTCTAGTGTTATTTCGTGTCTACCCCCTAGACTCTCTTTCATGCGAATAACAACCCAGATTATTTGTTTTTCTTCCATTTAAAATCAATTTTATTTGATTTTGTTTGAATTTGAACGGGCAAAGGTAAATTACTGGTGACTGTAATTGTTCACATTTTGAGGCAAAATCGACTTGTTCGATTATTTGATATTTATATCCCTTTTTCCTTGCACTCGTTTAATAAATATTTTGCTAATTTTACAAAATCGAAATTGAAAGATTAATCGAGTCTTGTGCTTGACTTACATTAAATCGATTTTTCACTATGTACACATTAACACGAAGAAGAATAGGTAAATGAGAAGGAAAATAAGCAAAAAAAATTAAGAATCGGTTTGGTTCCTCGTGAAACACAAACAGAGGAACGAGTGAAAAGCTTCCGTTTTGTTTTCAGCACTTGCTGAAGTAGAATGTGATGATGTTGATTAGTAACCAGTCTTCATCCAACCCGACTTCATGAGATAGTTTTTGACTTTATTTTCAACTGGTGTGATTGATGTTCGCGAAGCATGATCCCGACCGCTTAAAAATACCGCTTTCATTGTGATAAATGTCGTTGGCGGTAAATTGTATGTTGAACAAATCTGAAACGAAACCAAAATAAATTCAAATCAATTTTTAGCTCGTTTGGATCAATTCTAATTTAGATGGCGTGAGCGACTTTAAGTTTAGGCTTGAAAATCGGAGATGCTTACATTAATTTCGTTCGGTGATAAGAGCTGCCCTCCCAATTGCTTTGAGGTTTCAAGTGTTGGCATAATGGCGCCAGGTCCCAGTTTATCCGAGCAATTTTTGTTGAGCGATGAGCCGTCGGAGGAGACCGGGTCGTCGATGAGGCGCGTGCACTTTGGGTCGATGGAATTTGAGTTTTCGGTTCTTTCGCTTCCGCTATTGTTTTTTTTCCCAATTGGTTTGAGCAAAAAAATAATTCAAAATTAGAAGTCTCCGTTAGTGTTTGCATTTTTGTTTGTGTGTCTGAGTTTGGGCAGTGAACTGCTTTCTCATTGAATTATGTTTTAATTGAGATTGATTGATTGTTGTTTTCTTTACCTTTCCGCTTTTTTTGAGTGCAAAGATGACTGAAGCCGCTCGCCACCGATTCGATTGTCCTGTTAAACATTGTCTTATACAACCCCGTATTCGTTGACCATTCGGTCCGACTACACACGAAAGCTATTTTATGTTGAAGAGAGTGTAACACCATGCAACGGGGTAGAATGGAAAACAAACAAACGTGAAAGGCGAAAAATAAGTTAGAAAAATGAGATATCGCTCAATCAGAAAAGAAAAACAAAATCAGTACACGAGATTCCACATTGTAAAATCCACAGAAAAAAAAACAATCAACTAAATTACGTTTAGAATTAGAGACAAAAAAAAACAACGAAAAAAAACAATCAATAAACTGGCTTCGTTCAAATACAAACTCCATTTTTAGGAAAAAAATGCATAGAATCGTTGCATTGTGTGTTTGTCTTTCGAATAAAATAGCTTCCGATTAGTCGTTGAGCAAATAGACGATATAGACATATTTCAATGACTCGGAATGGAACACATAAAAGGAATAGGACACGAACGCAGAATACGATATCCATATGCTTTGCAATAGGATAAACATAAAAAATTCAATTAACTATAAGAACATTAATCAGCATCGCGACTTTACCAACACTCGTTGACCTCCACTTGAACAGTGCACACAACTGTGTCTATGTTGCTGCATATGGTGCAACACAGGTACAAGTGTCAAAAAATACATCAAAATAAAACACATTTGCAATGCGATGATCAAGCTAGTCTCACAAAAACCTTATTTCCTTTTATGTAATGATTTCGAAAAATTGAATTTAAAATGCCATTTTATTGTATTATTTTTTTGGAATGCAGCGAATCAATGAAATCGATTTATCTATTTTCTTCTTTTTTTGAGAGTCAAACACGAAGCGTTTGAAGCGCATCCATAAGTCGGTGCCAAGCAAAATAGATAATTTCAATGACCCATTCCAAGCCCAGTTTTTAAAAAACAAATCATAAAACAATCCAAGCAATTTAAGAAAAGAAGAAAAAAAAACCAGAAAAATGTCAATTGAAATGGAAAGACATACCGTTTTTCCAAATTGGCCATAGGGTCCAGTGTTGCGGGCTTGAGCGGCGGCTGCATGCTGTTCGAAGTGGATGCATTCATCAATTCGAGTGAGACCATTCCATCTGTAGCGACTCAGTTCAGACAATCGGATACGAAGTGCCTTTTCGCGTTCAAACGAATTGAGCCGTCGATCGAATTCGTAGGCTGTGTAGAATTGGGCAAACACGCGGAATCGATCACGAAATTCGCGTTGTTCTTTGGACTGTCGTCGTCGTGCATTGGTTAAGTTGCTTCCGCGGAAGAAGTTCATAATCAATTGGAAATCACGAACGATTCGCTTTCGTCGTGTACGTTCACGCAAGCGTCTTGTGTAAATATCTACTTGTGCTAATTTTAAAATTAAATCAATATCATCATCGTCTTGATTCAGCGATAGGCTGGACACCAATTGCTCGGCGGTCGGATCATATTCACGTTCGAATACATTTCGGAATGGCATATAGCCCAATTGTTTGGCCTCTTCGGGTGTCACATCAATCGGTGGTAACCGTTGTGTCAACAGATGACCGAGTGGTCCTTTGTCTTCGATCGTATGATCGACGAGTTGTGGCTTCTGCGCTGCCGCCGGTAACCATGTATGCCGGCCAATCGTTCCGAGTAAATACTTATTGATATATTCTTCTTTGGCATCTTCAGCACTTCTGGTTTCAATGTGTTTGCTTATGTCTTCCCAACTGCCAAATCCAAATTGCTCGACTGCATCCAATAAATGTACCTCTTCGCGTGCCGTCCAACCATTTTTGCTTCGTGTGAGTGACAAAACGCCGGTATCCTATCGAATATACAATTTATTTGATAACATTTTGCCAGAAAGAGAATAAAAACTGTACAACATTTCGAATATTACTTACCATAAATTGATACCGGTGATCATTTTTATGCGGTCCAATTTCAGCGCCACAAGCAAAACACTGCAAATAAACGAGAAATTATTGATGGAAAAGCAAAGGCGAAACACTTGAGCACACAAACGTAGCATGCATGGAAAACGTCAATCAATTGGGTATATAAACATGAAAGCTTGTATTACCTGTGGACACAGTTCAAAGTCAACACATTCCGCGCAGTGAACTCTTACACCAATAATGTCTTCTTGGCAGTACGTGCAACTGTATTTGGCGAAAAGTTCTGCAAGAAAAAGAAAAATTCACACAAATTTTAACAAAAAATTCATCATGTCATCACGTTTGAAATGCGAAAAAATTCACAGTTATCGGCAATTTTGGGGAAAAAAAAACGGAACATTTTTTTTTTATCCAGATCAGACGCAACAAAAATACTCACCAGCCATTTTGAAGCAAGCGTAAGTAATGAATGACAACTAATGAGTTGTTTTCATATTTGGCTTGTGTGTGACGAAGAAAAGACGACATTAGCGCAAACGACGGTGACATCTGAAACCATTCTTTCAGTATTGCCATTAATACATCGAGATGCAACGATGAACAGTTTGTGTATTTGTATTTGAGACAAATCGGTTTTTAGCGAAAAGAATGAAGAAGGAAAAATTGAAATGACGACAACAAAATTACCCTTTATATACAGCTCTCCTTTTTTTGCTTTTAAGTTTAGCTCAGTTCACATTTTATACAAAACATTCATATTAATTGATTCGACAATGAAATACCGAGAGAGCTCTTCTATGCTGAAAGTCGTTGAAATGGATCGAGTCTAGAAATAGACGAATAGGGTTGCATTCATCCAACGTATTTTGGACATTTATCTAATGCAACATAGCTTTATTTTTTGATAATTTAGTAAGCTACATCGATGTAGCAATAAATGTTATTCTGCATCAAGAAAAAGAGTAAATCTTATTCAGCGTCTAAATCAAAAAACTCTTACTAGTACACAAGCTAATATTTTGAACTGATTCGATTTGCATCCATTTACGAGCTAAAATTCCAAATTGATTTGAAACAGATAACAACGCATCATTGTTCTTTAGGGAAGAAATGAACCGAATCTATTTGGATATTGGATAAGAAGAGGAGGACGCATTCTGAAAAGTACTCTCTTTGTTTAGTTTTGTCCTATTTTTCTAAGAAAATTCACCATAGTCTCCTTTTCAAGGACATCGCAATAGAAATTTTTCCTTTCATCTTGCCCAAATAAGATCGATGTCATGCTGAAAATAGTCATGTGGGTCTATTGTTTGGAATATTGGTTGCAAATCGTCGTTTCTAACGAGAGTACGAAATAATTGTACGAAAGTTGTAAAAAATCGGCTTCTGAAGATGAAGATAGACGTGGTTTGCATTAGATCCTACCGATAAATGCCAGAAGAGCATGATATCGAATGTGACATTTTCAATTTTGAATAAACAAAAAGGATCATAAAAGTGTTGAGTTAATAAAAAACACCATGTTTTTAGATGAAGTTAAAAGTTCTCGCATTCTTTACTTTTGAATTTAGCTCATATTCTCATTGATGTTTTTATACAGGACATTTGTTTGGTTTTTTAAATAGAATTTCAATGTGATCTAATAACTAGAGTGAATAAAATCTTATCCATATAGAGTCGTATTCAGTGTGTTTCTTTTATAGTAATAATTAATAATAATAATAATGTTAGAGCTTCCACTATCCACATGATACAAATATTTAAGTAATTAGTTTAAATTTTAAGCTCTATTGATTTTCCTTAGATAGACTAATCGACCATCCTATAACTCTACGATCGAATCCGCTGGAGAATAAATTGAATGGCATTTCTTCGGCCCATGCGACGGACGATACCATTCGACGATGACCCTAAAATGACAACAACAAAAAAACGAAGATGAAATATTTTTTGTCTTTTTCAAAGACTGAGAAAGTAGAGAGAGGAATGTGAAACGATTTTTCACCTGTCGGCTTGTGCGTGGTAAACGTGCGATTCGTTGGCCATTGAGATCGAACAGTCGAATGTGTCGATTGTCATGAGGTATGGCGATGATGCCGCCGTTTGACACTGAGATTCGATTAACAGCCGAATCGAGTCTGATGGTGGTTAGAGCTGACCGCATATTTCTTAGCTCCCATACTTTGACGGTTTTGTCATCCGAACCAGAGACTACTTTATCATCTCTGGTTAAAACAGTTGATGTGACACTTCTGCAATTGTAAAACGAATAGAAATTAGACACTGTATTCTCTTTGTCACAATAAAAACCATGTTGCTTACTCTGTGTGCCCTTGGAATACCGAAACAACCGGTATTTGATCTCTAAAATCCCATAAACGAAATGTTGAATCCCTTGACGCGGTCACCACTAATTTTTGTGACGGATGTGAGCTAACGTGGCAAAGTTCATGATCATGGCCACTGAGCGTTTGAAGGGGCTCACGTGTTTCAATGTCCCACAAAATGGCTGTGCGATCCCAACTGGCGGTGATAATTTGCTCCGTATCGAATATCCAATCGGCGGCGACGACAACAGATGAATGACCTACATTTGCCGTTGTGCCAAATTCACAAAGCGGTGTACGTAACACATCAACTCGATCTCTATCCTCATTCGATTCACCATCTTCCAATTCCTCTTCGGATGAATAGCATTTGCGCGAAGTTGACGATGGGCCATCCCAATTGACAGCCGCTTGCCAAATGTGTGCGGTTGAATCTCCACTGCCCGTAAGTACTAAGTCTTTGCTCAAGTGAAATTTGATTGAGTTCACCGAACCAGAATGACCCTGATATTGTAACAAACATCGTCCTGTGTTTGCATTCCATATGCATGCCAAATGATCGGCCGATGCTGTGCCGATGATCGGATGGCCCGTTTTGGTCGCCACTTGCCACACACCATCTTTGTGACCATCGAAATCCCGCACATTTGGACTAACAATGGATTGTGTCTTAAAACTTGATACGATACGACTGGTTTGTGCTTTTAATTTATGACTCGCTTTAATTTTACTGCTGCCCGGTGTACTTAATCCCACTTTTGATTTGCTACTCTTGCTTGATACAATGTCCGCTTCGATATCTTGTTGATTGTATCGTTCGCCCGTTCCAGGCTCCCGATTTCCACCAGCGACCAGTTGATCAATTTTCTCTTGTACTATGACGAAATCATAAAAAACCAATCAATGTCATTAAATATCAATTGCGGAAATGAAAACCGACTAAAATGATTAAATTTAGAATAGATTGATTGATAAACGTCATTCTTTTGATACTACTTACAGCTTAGATTCTCTAGAAACACCAATTCAAATTCTTTTTCAATTTGTGAGAACAACAAATGCAGTCGCTGTCGAAATGGAGCATCTTCGCCTGGGAAATCTTCGGCCAAGCTTGTCAGTCGCCGTGACTTTTCCGCGAATTTTTGTGCATACGTATTGTCCAATGGCATTGCTTGAGCCTATTTTAACCTACAATAAATGAATCGAAGGCAGAAACACATACACACATATTAAAACACTGATTCACTTCAAATGAATATTCAAGAAGGCCTTTTGTTGATATTTTTGCGGCCAAAAATTCCATTACATCAGCATTCACAGCCTCATTTACATAAAACCCGAATGAAATTAATCGAAATGAAGACGGAAAAGAGAGAGAGAAATAATCAATTGTTAAGTTCAAGGTTGACAAAGCAAATAGAAAGGCGACGATACAAACGACAGACAACCCATACACACAGTACAACACAGCACACCAGTAGAAATTAATCACGAAATAAAAGGATAATGGAATGTGAACATATGATAAATTGCGTTGAGCTCACACTTTCCGAATACTTTTGGAAACGAATAATAATGTTGGCAACAACAAACACAGTGAACGGAACGAAGAAACGAACAAAATATCCACAAACAAATCACATACATTCGCTATAATTAAACCTATGCATGGTATTTACCTCGGAGTTAGATGTCAAAAAGATAAACGAAATTGCACAAAACCATACGAGAAGCTCAAAATCTCGTCTCTCAAACAACAACACACACTGAACAAACAATTTAATTTTTTTTCCTCTTCGGCCGTTTCGTCTTATTTCCAAATGTTTTCGATGAAATATCGCTCCTCCGTCTCTCTGCGCTCTTTCGATTAATGTGCTTTCTTAATACCTTTTATTTGATGTAGCATAAATAAAATCGCCTTTTTTGCACTTATTACACAATTTGGGGAGAAAAACAGCATCAACTGAATTTGCTTGCACATGCAGAACAGTTAATTTAAGATTTTAAGTTACGAGTTTTTGTTTTGTTTTTCACGATTTCTTCGTTTTAGATTTGCGTTCACACTCAAATTTCGCACAATTCGACGTTTTCTAGCGCTCAACATGAATGTATTTTGATGAGAGAGTTATTTTTAAAAGAAATCCGATGCGTGCTATTTTGCATCGATGTGTGCTTTTGTAGTGCACTCAAGTGTTAAATAATATTCCGTCTCGATTACGGGAGAGCTGAAATGCTCTCTAAAACATATGGGTATGCTATGCCCGTGTACGTGTATACGTATGCGAATGAATAATAAATAGTCGAATGTACAGTAATATTCTTGTTATGATAAAAGGAGCAACATTTGCGACTCTGTGCTATGCTATGCGAGAGGGAGAAGAGAAAAAAACAGCAACAACAACAATCGAGTTCAAATTCTGCGAATAGTAGAACTGTCAGATGTCATAACACACATATACACTTGTTGTTTTCGTTTCTTTTTCTCTGTCTTTCACACTCGTCGTATAACTGTGTGTTGGCTGGCTGATGTTTTGCGTGTCGACATCATTTCGATACATGCGCACAACCAACTCACACTCACACACACACAAACACGAATCGCAGTCGTGTAAATTTTGCTTTCGTTTGTTTTGGACAAAACAACTACTTGCTGTCAATCAATTTCTCTCATTTTTAATGGATACAACAAAGATGTAACAAAAATTGACAGAAATACGCAGTTTTATTCATTTCTGTCCATTTTCCATGTAGTTTTTTCAATTCTGTTCTGATAACGAACGATTTGAAAGGTAAAAGCACACATATATATTATTTTCACGTTGGCTGCAGCGAAATGAAACGTATTTTTGTTTCATTAGTTCCGGTATGTGACGCCAGTTGTACAATCGTCAGTTGTTTACAATAATACGGGTTTATAGTTCACAAGACAATAATCTGAAAAGAATCCACAGAACGTGTAACTTTTTATGGGATTTCGATTCAATTATTCGTTTCTAAGTCCAGAATTAATTTTGATTTTGGATACAAATTGCCGAACAACTCAACGAGACTGAAAGATTCAGAGCCGATGATTCCATTACTCCGCAGATCCATTACTCGGAAGATTCTTCTTCGGGAAGCATGCTATAGAAATACGGGGAAGGCCCAGGTTCTAAGGACTTTTCGAATGTAACAATTATCAACAAATTATTTCGTGAACTACTATACCAGTTAAAAAAATAACATATGAATTTTTATTTATTTATTCTTATTCTGGTACAAATAACGAAAAATTATATTTCCGCAAACGTTTTCGGTGGACATTCCACCATCCTCAGGCGAGTTTGAAACTAAACTAAATACAATAATTGTCACAATGGTTGCTAAAATCAAAATTCCTGTGTATTTACATTTCAAATGACATTTAAATCACGGCTAATGAGTGTAAACATGCGATTTTTTGTTGAAAATGTCTTCAGTACTCAATGGTTTTGTAAAAATTTATATAAAGATGTTTCAACTTGCGTTCTTTGGATGTTCATATTTGAATGCTTCGTTTTGTAAATATACAAATTTCCATAAGCATCCGATTTTCTTGGGTTATTGACCTCCTTTAACAAACGGAAACCCGCAAAATCATGATTGTTTTGCAACATATGATCTGGCTGGTGTCGATTTTCCGTATGTTTTCTGATGAAATGGCCTGTAGTGTTCGTCATACCGTTTACAAACTTCTCTACTACACTGTCCGATGTACGGTTGGTTACAACCTGTGAATAGTGCTGCATAAATACGAAATTGATCCAGCTCCTCGACTTTGGCTTTAAAATTGCACAAGTGGGTTTTTAATTTGTAACCCGTACTGTTTGGCGAAAGAATAATAAAATGATTTCGTAGAATTTTTGTGAGTTTTGTTGTTAGTCCCTCAATGAAAAATCCACCCGAGTAGTAGCAATCGTCATCTCCATCAATGACATTTGTTACCGATTGGCTCAAGGACAACTCTCCTATCCACTTTGAATTTGACAAATGATATTGAGCGCAAACACCACCTAGATAATCTAAGGCTAACGACAATACAATCAAGTAAACTGTCCGTTCTGTCAAACGTCATACTGAAGTATAACATACAGACATCACGAATTCGCCATCGGTTCTTTAGATGGCGCTTCGGTCAACCGAGTTCCAACCAAATACATGTATCAGTATACGAAGCATTCCACTGTTGCTCAAAGATGTTGATTCATTCAATTCTTTCTTTCGTTTATGTTTTTTGAGCAAGGAGTCAATGATTTTTCTACTGAAACCATTTAAATCAGCAATTCAATGTAATTTATCAACCTAACAATTATGGTGAAAAACATGCAGTACCAAGTTCCCGAACTAAAGCAGAATTTTGAAAGGTATTTGATGAATACGCTTGATGATAACAACGCTGTTGATATAGTACTTTGGTCTAGCAATCATTCCCGCGAATTGAAGAGTTCCACCTTGAAATATATCCATGAGTAAGATCAAAATAACATAAGCTATCACCAAAATGTGTCAATTAGTACTTATTTTACATTTATTACAGAAATCGTGATGCAGTGACGAAATCTGTCCAATAGATCAAGTTGAAGGCGACCAACCCATATGGAGCTTTTATGAAATTTTATGAATATTCCATTCGTCGCAGATTGTAGATCACCGGATACAACGTTGTCTAACTGAAATTTCATATTTGAATAAATCGATTTAGAAATACAGGAATAAACGTTTACAATTACCTCAATTGCCGTCTTTCAATTTTCTTGATAATTTTTGTGCTGAATTTCTCTTCTTCAGCCCTTTAATTACTCTGTCAGTCGGTTATCTTTTGATTATTATCATGAAAATTGGTTTCCCTATTTAAATTACACGCAAAATTGAACCAAAGCCACCTTTACCACCGCTTGCAAACGTGTATTGTAATGGCCAATCTATCGATGGTATTGAACATCAATTGCGGCACAAAAAACGCATAAAAGGATTCGTTCAAAATGCGAAGACACGAACCAAATTCAAACCATATCAATACAAATCAGTGGTTTGAGGCAAGAATATTTAAAATCGAGCATTATTCAATTGCCAGCTAATAAGGAACAATAAAACTGATCTAAGATTCACGCGTTATTCATGAAATGAATTCAGCATCGTAAACATGAACATATCGGTTTGATTTCAATCAATTTTGAATCGCGACTTTGAATTGTCACTTCGAATTTCATCACATATTTGAAATGTGTAGATTTCAGTTGGCTACGATTGCCATGGAAACGAATGTTTGAGCTCTCAAATAAAAAACGCAAAAGTCGAATCGTTCTCAGCATATATAACAAGTCAATTCCTTTTTCAACTTATTCAGGGATCCATTTAAAATTTTCTCGCTTGCAAAAGTTATTTGAATAAGAAGATGACAGAAGTGAGTGATGCGGCGATTAAAAGGACACAAGATTCACTGGGAAAAATAATTAAAAAACCCATACTTACGGAAAAATTGCTGCGAAAGCCACCGTTCAAATTTTTACACGATATCATTCATGCAGTAAGTCCTTTTGGCATTTAAACTTGAAATTGTTCTGCACGGACAATTAAGAACAGTTTGAGTTGTTCTATTTATAACATGGGTTGATTGTTATGTTTTCTTCTAAAAGGTTATTAAAACTACTAGTTTTCTGGATGGATTGTATACTGATGAGGAGCTTCAATCTGAAAATATGAAGGATCGAGATGCAAAAATTGCTTTTCTACAGAAAGCTATCGATGCAATAAGTGTGTGCCTTTTTTCTTCAGACAATTGTTAAATTTCGATGACAATTTCTAACCAAATATATGAATTTTAGAAATATCCACAAAATTAGAAGTAAAAGCAAGACCATCAAAAATTGTGGCTGGCTTGGAGGCCGATAAAACGAATGAATTATTAGTGGCAATTTCCAAGGCTATAGATAGAAAAATTGACAGCACCGAAGCGGTTGCGCTTGTAAAAAGTGGAAATGTGGCTGCAGCAGCACCGAAAAAAGAAGTAAAACCAACGAAAACGCAAACAAAAAGCGAACCTCGAAAAGCTAAAAAAGAAACTAAGGAAACGAAAGAGCCAAGCAGAAAAACTAAAACCACCACAGACACTAAGCCGACAAAGAAAACCGAACCGAATGCCAAAGTGAGCAGACAGAGCAGCAAAGATTCAGTTGAAACGAAAAAGACAAAAAGGTCATCGTCACAAGGAAATCGAGACAAAGAAAAGGAAAATGATAAGAAAAAAGACCGCGAAAGGACAGCCACTTTAAAAACGGAATCGGTAGAAAAAGTTCCAAAAGCAGTGGAACAAACAATTGAAGCTCCTCAAACTAACGGAATTGTGGTAAGTACATAATGGAAGAAAAACCGCACATGACTTTGATACAAAAGCTAAAAACTCTAACAAAAATGAACTTATTCTCTATTGCATTTCATTCAGAATGATATAATTGAAAATCAGGAATCGAAGCCAAATTTAGCCAAGGTCGAACCAGTAGAAACAATTGTGAAGCAAATCGATTTGCCAAAAGATGAGTCCGAAAAGTATGAACCGCGAGAAGAGAAGATAGAAAAGCGAGAAAAGACGCCAAAAACGACACCAGAGAAAAAATCTGAAGAAACTGTTGATGGGAAGCCCGAAGAAAAACCAAAGTCGGCTGTGCCGTTAGAAGTGACCAAATCTGAAGAGAGTGTAAATAATCCACAGCCATCACCTCCAACCGCTGTAACATCAACCGCAGTATCCAAGAAAGTGCCCGAAAAAGCTGTTGAAAAAGTGGAAAAACCACCAAGTGATAAACCGCGATCGTCTAAATCGAGGAAAAGTCATCCCAAGCATGATTCTGAAAAGGTTTCGGACGGTATGAAAACAGAGGAAAAGTTGACAACTTCGAAATCAATGGACAAGGTAATCGAACGGTCGCATGGCGTTAAAACGAATGAGGTGACGAAGAACTCTAAGCCGTCACGAACGGCCCTAAGATCGGCTGCAATGCGACCAATTTCAGCACGGCCAAGTGCACCACGTCGACGTGATCGAAATGTTCGACAAATCGTCCATACGGAAAGTTTCGTACAAGAGTCTGGCGATCAAAAGACCGATAAGAAGAATCAGCTACCCGCATTTGATGACGCCGATAATATCGTGATAACAGAAACGATAACCGAAAATCTATCTGCGATAGATGAGCCCGCCACAAACAACATGGATGGCGAAATTGATGGGGAACAAGGCCATTTGGTGCAACAAATTCTTGAAACCCAAACCGCAATTCTGAAATCGGATGCCAAGAATGATATTTCGACGGTAAAATACCCTTGCCATTCGTTTATTCATTGTATAAATTGTTAACTTAGAGAATTGATCGAATATCTACAGATATCCGATGATCGTAAATCGATTACGCGCAATATGACCGAATTGAGGAAAATGATACAAAAATTATCACTTTACATCACACCGTTGGGCAAAATGATGGAATACTTTCAAGAAGATGTCGATGCAATGCAAATTGAACTCCTAATGTGGCAAAAGGCGGGGGCAGCCGCCAGAGCCGACATCAAAGAAGAGCAACGGTAATTCTCTTTTCCTATCTATCGACTTCACTCGACTCGACTTGACTCGGCACAAAACACATAATGCACATAATATATATATGTATAACGATCGCTATTGTTGACTAAATGTTTAATGAGCTGTGAATTGTCGAACCTCCCTGTTTATAATCCATTCCGTTGTTTTTTTATCATGACTTATTGAATCATTTGATGTAATTTGTGTTTGTTTTTGCATTTCACAGTACAACGGAAAAACTATTGGAGAATTTTAAATACCATTTGGCTGAGATTAACAACAGTATCAAGGATCATGCCGAACAAATTAACAATACAACAATGAATATTATTCAAAATGAGGAGAAAATATCCAAATTAATTTCCACATTGTAATTAATATGCAACAAAAACTGAAGCAACCACAATTTATTGAAAAATTATATGATATCTTATCCAAAATAAAAGAATATTTATCAAGATTTTGGCGCAAAAAAATTGAGTTTTTTTTTTGTTACATAAAAAAACGGAATGAAAGTGAAATGAATAAAATTTAACGAAGAAAGTTTGGTGCGCTGTTTGGAAATTGATAAAGCATTGAAAAAGAGAATGGCCTTTGTCTCTTTCTTATCCAATTTTCGGTTCGGAGCCACATTTCACAGGGGAATTCATTATGCATGAATCATTAATGTGTGCATGTTTTCGTATCGAAAGACAAATAATTGGTCGGCCGATATCAATATTTCAAGACCCCATTTATTTATTGTTTACCCATCAAGCCAATTCGTACTCTATTTTATCGTCGAGATATACGACACACGATGTTTGGTTAAAAAAAATAACAGAACAATAAATAGACTAAATAAACGAAGAGTAAGGTTCGCGCCTGAATCGTACGAATCTAGGTAGACGTTGAGTGAATGACTTGGATAAATGTATGTGTTTCCGTGTGTGAATGTGTAAGTGTGTATGACAAATCGTCAAGTGAGCAGCAGTACAGTAAGTGAAAAAAAAGAAGAAACTAGGTTGTGCCGAATGAGAATGAATCAATACAGTGTGTGTAACGAAGAAACAACGTAAAATGCATAATAATAAATATGGCGTCGTCCATTGGGTTAATTGTCAAAAAGTGACATTTTCATTCACAATACAGCACCAAGCGTTTCAATATTATCTAATCTGTGTGAAAGACGACAACGACGACGACCACGAATGAAAACACTCCGTATTAATTCTCATTTTTTTTGTCTTTTTTATCGATTCAATATAGTCTTTCCTCGATTTGATATTGAGAATGTAAATTGAACCATAGCCTTTTCACTTTGCGTCACACAGTGTCTCTGTTTTTCATGAGCAAAGTTTCAATGATCGAAATGGAACCAGTGTAACAAAATTCGCGCTGAACAGTGAACAAGTCAACATATAACAAATTGAGAACGAGAGAAAAGAAACAAAAAAAAGAAAGAAATAAAACGCACAGTGCGCGACGTGAATTTTTGCAGATTTTTTTTTTGCTTTAGTTTTATTTTTTCTCCCGAATACGTTCCCGGTTTTGTTTCTTTGTTGTGAACGACAAAAATAATTGAATTGAGTGAATAAGGGAAAAAGAATTTTTTTCTCGGAAAAATGCAAGCAACTAACGATTCTGATGATTCGGAGGAGTATTTTGATGCTGAGGACTCTACACCGAACCGACTCATGAAGTAAGAAAGTGGTTTCGTTTTTGTTGTTTTCCTATTTCATAATTTGGCGATTAGTCATTGGCCATTAGGAATGGAATATGTTGAAATTCATGTGTGTGTACGTGTTTTTGTTTTTCTCCTTGGTTTAGAAAACGTTCGCCAAAATCAGAGGATGATGGTTTTGCGTTTCCGGAAATAAATCTAGAGAAGCCATCGGATAAATGTGATTTGGATTCGTTAACAAAACAACAGGGACAAAAATCAACGGCTACAGTGACCGTGCCACAGCCGCACGTATTTGCTGAACCAAAACCAGTAAGTTGCATCTATTGCAATACGATACAAAACAGAATACAACTAAATTCCATAATGTCGCACCTTTTCTCTATCTCTATCTCTCTCTCTCTCTCTCTCTCTCTCTCTCTCTCTCTCTCTCTCTCT